AACGACATTATTTAGTGTGTCGTCGAAAACGTACGGCTGAGATCTCATGGAGGTTTGTTGCAAGAGCATGCAGATAGGAGTGAGAAACAACTTATCTGAGTCAATTTTCACTCAGTTTAAATCATTTTGAAACATGGGGCAGTGGTACCAAGTGGTCGTCTCCATCTGATGGCCCTATGGAAGACCGCTAACCGACACACTTCCTCGTGTCGCGAGACGGGCAGCCGGGAAGGGCGCTGTCCCCATCCGCCCGAGACGGGCAGCCGGGAAGGGTGCTGTCCCCATCGGCCCGAGACGGGCAGTCGAGAAGGGCGCTGTCTCCAGCGGTCCGAGACGGGCAGTCGAGATGGGCGCCGTCCCCAGCAGACCGAGACGGGCACCCGAGAAAGGGCGCGGCCCCCAGCGGCCGGTCGTCGCCGAGTCAGCGCGCCCGCGCAGCAGTCCAGCTCCCTCGCACGTGAATAATTCAGCTCTGTGGCGACTTCCCGTCAATCAGGCGAGGTCGGGTGAGGCGGCGGCCGCCGGCGAGCCCGCTGCACCCCGCACCGGTTGTCGGTCGTCAGTTGCCGCGCCGCCGCCCTCAGCCGGACGTCAACAGGACGTGAACGCCGCGTGTCGCCGGCCGACACGCTGCGCAAGCTAACGAGCCTGTTTACGGCGCCAGCAGTCTGGACGGAGGCCCGTTCGGCGCGACCGCCGCCGCCAGCGGAGCTCGCCGGTAAACGGCTGTGCCGCAGGCGACCAGGCGGACGCCGCCGACAACACAGGAGGACAGAGGCAGACCAGAAGCGGCCACTGGTGACAGCGCCGCGCACCAGCCGGCGACGGCAGCGCGCAGGCGGCTCTGTGTCCAGGCCGCCAAGCCGGCGTCACAGGGCCGACCGGCGGCGGCGGCGGCGGCGGCGGCGGCGCGCTGCCGAACGGCGCCAAGCCACCGCCTGGCCCGGCCGGCGCCGCTGCGACGCCGCGCCGGCAGCGGTGCAGCGGCGCCGGCCGCCGAGACGCCGGGGCGTGAAGAGCACCCGCAGACACGCGGCGGCCGCGGCCGGGGCGCGCACACCGCCCAGCCCTCCGAGGGGCCAACGGAGACCGTACGAACAATGGTGGGCCCGGCCGCCATCACCCACGGCGAAGAAAGACACAAGCTGGGTTGTCCCGGATGTCCACTATCCGATCCTAATGCCGCCGACAGGGCGGCTGGTCATGCTGTCATCAATCGCGCTAAAAACCGGCCTCAATCGCTTCACAATGCCAGCAGCATCCGACCAGCCGGGGCCGGGCAGCGGGAGTTTCGCCGGCTGGCCGCCAGCTGGCAGTACCGCCTGCGGTTGGTCGGTCCGCATTTCTAGGCGATGAGTTACGGGTGGCGGTATCGAGCAGGCGGCGGCGGCCGCACACAATCGGCCGGTAGCCAGCACACACGGGTCAACCGGCCCGCGACGCGGCACATCTTTGTCGACCGACCACAGCCGATCGTTACCAACGGCAGCGGCGACCGCCGCCGAGGTCACGGACTGTGACCCGAGCACACACGGCACGTGGCCGGAGACGACTGTGTACACACGAGACCGTGACTCGGTACCACAGGGTACACACGAGACCGCAGCTCGTCCCCACAGGGTACACACGAGACCGTGAACCGGCACCACAGCGCACACACGAGACCGTGACCCGACACCACAGGGTACACACGGGACCGTGACCCGGCACCACAGGGTACACACGAGACCGCGGCTCGTCCCCACAGGGTACACACGAGACCGTGAACCGGCACCACAGGGTACACACGAGACCGTGAACCGGCACCACAGGGTACACACGAGACCGTGAACCGGCACCACAGGGTACACACGAGACCGTGAACCGGCACCACAGGGTACACACGAGACCGTGGCTCGTCCCCACAGGGTACACACGAGACCGTGACCCGGCACCACAGGGTACACACGAGACCGTGACCCGGCACCACAGGGTACATACAAGACTGTGACCCGGCACCACAGGGTACACACGAGACCGTGACCCGGCACCGCAGGGTACACGCCGACCGCGCACTATAGCGGCAATGAAGGAGCTGTACTGTCCCTCGTCAGCAGCTGGAAGCTGTTCAGGGTCACGCGATGGCCCTTACGATACGGCGATGGGGTCCACCCGGAGAGAACGCGCCCAGTGGCAGGGGGCAGACCGGACAAAACGGCGTCAAATGGCTTCCTCCGACCGGAATCACGAGCGGGGAACAGGTTGAATGAGACGTACCGGTGGCGGCGACCATCGACACAAGATTAGGAGCCATCGACGACTGATTAAAGGGAGTGTTCCACATTTGTGTGGGCTTTTGAACTGAAATAGCCACGTTGAAGATCATTCGGTACGATTTACAGCCCTGCCCTTCTTGGACTTGAGACCCTCTAGTTCCGAGCTGCACGCCCACGGGGCTGTGTGAACTATTTCAAAGACAATGTATGCCGTCAAAGAGAGGTCATTCAAATACTGCCATCCTATTGGCTACACCGCATTCACGGCCGAGACAAATATAAACTGCGAATCATTTATGCTTGGCGTGCGTAAGCACGGTTCCCTGATATCATGTACTTCATTTAGTTCTCGATCAATGTTATGCGCCCAGCACAAGTATCGACCACGATCTGGTTATCTGGTTATTCGGAATAAAGCCCCTTGGACTAGAAGTGGTAATTTCAGAGTTCAGGGATAACGGCGATTGGATAACGGTGAGGCGGGTCTACATGCGCCTGAAGGCCCAACCGCCGAGACTGAGCCCGCGCAGGGAACCCTCTGCGAGTACGCGCCGGGCGCCCAGTCGAGGGGTCCGTTCCAGGGGATCTCTCGGCCCAATTATGGCCCACGTATGCAGCCTGCCCGAACAAGCGGGGGTCGCGAGGATGAAGGGTGCAATGAAAGGAGGATGTGAAGGTCGGGTGTTTAAGCACAAATCACGTTTTGTGCTGCAGAATATAGCAAGTTGCACATAATTGCTAGTTATTACGTAAATACGACTTGTAGTGCAAAAGCCCAAAATAAGCGCCACAACCGTACGTGTTAACATTTTTAACACACGGACAAATGTGCAAGAGCACCACGAGAAAAAAAAACAAAAAAGGTCAAGAAACGAGCACATAAAGATATTTGGTTCAGCAAACACCTCCAGCATCGCCAAGGCCAGGTCTCCGGGAATTGGAGCACTACAAGTGAATACTAGGGTGGCAATTTCTGCTAGTTTGGCAGCACCTCAACGTCATGTAAACGTTCCATGACACAATCAAACAATGATGTAAGGAAAACCATGTTTCTTGAATAGTGAAATTTTGTTTTCTAGAACAGTCTTTTGCCCTTACAAGTATACCAATAGCTGCAAGTAAGCTTATTACATCACATCTGATGTTTGCTCCAATATCTCCAAACGTGGTACATTCCATTTAAATCTGACGGATATTGAATTACTAAAATACTGAACCCCCCCCCCCCCGAAAAGCACACATTGACGCAAAAGCGTCACACGTTTACATGCATCACGTTGCATCGCAACACAACACAACACAACACAACACAACACACCGCAGCGCACCGCACCGCACCGCCGCAACGCAACGCAACGCAACGCAACGCGACGCAACGCAACGCAACGCGATGCGATGCGATGCGGTGTGATGCGATGAGATGCAACGTGATGCGATGCGAGGCGGAACGGAACTAAAAAGTAGTACAGCAACCAAACGTGCTCGTGCCGTGACATCACCTACCACCGGCAACAAATATTATGTAGACAACATGGCAGACAATGATGTGTTTCGTCATAATTCCTTACGAAGAGCGGAAATATGGGGCTGCACTGAAAGTTTTCCCTGACAAGTAGCGGCTCTGCCTCCTTCTCGCACGTAGGCTGCAGTGCGAGGCGTGCGGCGGAATTTCATTCGCTCCCACGTTACGCTGCTTTTCAGCTCCGTTCCGCTTCGCACCGCAACGCTACGCAGCAAAAAGTGGCCAGAGTGGGCGGCCCGAAGCCGTCCGCCGTCCAATCTGATCAAGCGCGGTCCCCGCCGTCGATGGTAAATGGGGCGTCTGGCGACGCTGGCCTGCGGCATTGATATCGTTCTGAGCAAGTCCAGCCGGCGTCGCCCTGTCGGCTGCGTCAGCAGCACTCTTGAGAGGAGCTCTCGGCAGACGATAGACGCAGACGAGCAGCGACGGACCACAGCGGAACAGCCACTGGCAGCGACACCGCTGGACCCAGCAGCCCTGAGCGCACGGCAGGCGTGTGCGATGCCTTAAACGAATCCCGGCAGGACTTCTTTCGTGCGATGTATGGCGGCTAAGACCTGGGGGGGGGGGGGGGGGGCAAAGGCGGCGCCGGAGAATCCCACACTGGTTTCAACGTCACCATTTTTCAGCTCCATTCACTCCCCCATCCCACTCCCTCTTGTCCCGGCGAGGCAAAACTGGCGCGGGCGAAATGCATGTTAAGTTTCACGGACCACTGTGTGCGGCAGACCGCTTCATTGGCCAAACATTAAACATTGCTGGCAAAACTTGGACTCAACGCTTTCCGCGGGTCCCAAATGAATACCTCAGAAATGTCTACGACCACAAAAAAGGCCACCTCTGGGGACGCGCATCCAATATGGATGGGAATCGCCCGTCGCGTGTTGTGATCGCACGTAGCGCGACGATGGCACCGAAGCCAACAGCGGCCAGGGCTAAGGCGAAAATTGCCCAATAAACTCCCAAGGGAAAGGGGGCGCAAAAACAACCATCCGTCGCGCACCCCGAGGCACATCCAAGGGACCGGGGAAGTCGCGCCCCGCCTCGGGACCCACGAATGGGCTCGGAGACGTAGGAAAACGTGCGGGAACTCACGTAGCTCGCCCCTGCTCACGCTACTGCACCTGCCACCGATGACGATGTAAGGGGCGACGATGAGCAAACCCGACACGTGACGGGGCGTCACGTCCCGACGACCTCCGAGACGAGGACGCAGGACTGACCTCTCGATGGTCTTCATGAAGAGGAAGCAGACGCCGCCTTCCTCACGTATGGTGGCGTACTGGCTGTTGGCCAGCGGACACGACGACCGGTTGCACAGTCCCGTCAGGTTGTATTCATTCCGGCAGAACTTCTGCGTCGGCGTGCTGCGGTGGACGGGTTCGGGGTTACGCCCGGCACCGCGGGTGACCGCCATACGTGCACGTCACGGGGTAGGCTGGAGCGTGGGTCATAACGGAACAGGCTCGGGGCCACGTCCGGAGATTGCGACCTAGATCGCATGTGAACGTCACAATGGTAGGTCACGGAGGTGGGTCAGGGCGTCGGTCACGAGGGCCGTCAACGCGACGGGTCACAAGGTCGGCCACACGCGAAAGCGGATTGCGGCATTACATTGCAGCGGCTGATCACGCGTGCTAGGAGACGAGAGGCAGATCACGGATAACACCAGTGGATAGGCCGTGGGCGCCGGTGCAACTTCTAGACTACACGGGAAACTCACGGGAGTGTCAGCGTGGGTAGCGCGTAGACCTCAGGTCCCAGAACACTACATTCTAACTGCAACGCCCGCAACGTGCTGGCAAGCGTGCTCTGCCGAGCCGGGTCGGGCCCGACGCCCCGCGTCGGTAGCAGACCCGCGGGCGGGCGGTGCTCGCGTCCTCTGACCACGCCCTTCCGTCGATCCGTGCCCGGGCAGGAGCTTCACCGGCCGCCGCACTGCACTCCCCTCCAGGGCCTCTCGGCCGCCAGCCTGCCCTCGCCCGTGGCCGCGCCGTGCCGACGCCTGGTGGCAGGTCCCGCGCCGTCTGGTGCGCCGCTCGCCGATGAGCCCACCATCGCCAACAACGGACGTGAGGAGCCCAGACCCTCAGCCCGGGAGGTACCGACCGGACGAGAGCGAGAAGCCCCAGACCCTCAGCCCCGGGAGGTGCCGGCCGGACAAACGTGAGGAGCCCAGACCCCCAGCCCGGGAGGTACCGGCCGGATGAGAGCGAGGAGCCCAGACCCTCAGCTCGGGAGGTGCCGGCCGGACGAGAGCGAGGAGCCCAGCCCCTCAGCCCGGGAGGTATCGGCCGGATGAGAGCGAGGAGCCCAGACCCTCAGCTCGGGAGGTGCCGGCCGGACGAGAGCGAGGAGCCCGGACCCTCTGCCCGGGAGGTACTGGCCGGACAAGAGCAAGGAGCCCAGACCCTCAGCCCGGGAGGTGCGACCGGACAGCCGTGAGGAGCCCAAACCCTCAGTCCGGGAGGTGCCGACCGGACAGCCGTGAGGAGCCCAGACCCTCAGCCCGGGAGGTACCGGCCGGACGAGAGTGAGGAGCCCAGACCCTCAGCCCGGGAGATGCCGGCCGGACAGCCGTGAGGAGCCCAGACCCTCAGCCCGGGAGGTACCGGCCGGACGAGAGCGAGGAGCCCGGACCCTCTGCCCGGGAGGTACCGGCCGGACGAGAGTGAGGAGCCCGGACCCTCAGCCCGGGAGATGCCGGCCGGACAGCAGTGAGGAGCCCAGACCCTCAGCCCAGGAGGTGCCGGCCGGACGGCTCGGCGCCGCCTCCGCAGGTGAGCGAGATACAAAAGACGCGGGCGCAGCGGGACGTTGAATGCGAGGCGCGCAGGCGGCGGGCGGGGCAGACGGAGGCCACCACCTGGCCACGGACGGCCCGTGCGCGCACACCTATTGGTCTCGGCAGCAGCGGCAGCAGCACCGGCGGCGGCGGCACCTCTCACTGACAGGGCGTGGCGCGCGCCGTGCAGTGGGCCCTTCCCCACATAGGGCTCACTCTAAATATGGCCGATGCGATCGCCGGACGCCGCCGCTGAGAGCGACCCGCTGCGTCGGGGATTTACCCCGTGAACGAGTGCGGCGGCAGTAAGGCCACGCGAAGCCGGAGCAGCCGCTCTCCGGGCAGCCCGACGGCACCAGTACATGGCTGCATGTCACACGCTGCTGCCGTCGGAGCCCCTGTCCTGCCAGCGCGAGGCCGGCGGCGGCGGCGTCGCCGGGCGGCGGGCGCCGCACCCGCGCCCGCTCATCGCCCCGCGACGGCTAAACGGCGGTGCCGGCGCCACCGCCGGCCCGGACGCGGCGGGATTTACGGCCACAACAGCGTCGTCCATCACCCCGGACGGCGCCCGGTGCCACAACAGCATTCAGGGGCCAACTTCGCCCAGATGAGCCGCGGACGGGGCGGCGGCGGCGGCGGCGGCGGTGTGCGGCGGGGTCCGACGCCGCCCAGGCTGCGGTCGCGGCAGCCGACGCCACCGCCCGCCCGGGCATCCCGACACAAGCCCGTCCGAACAGACGCCGGCTCCTGCGAGCTTACCTCACTTTGAACGAGCAGAACGACTTGTTAATGATGGACCAGATCACCTGCAACGGAGGCGTTTGTATGCACTGCGAAATGGCACATGCGGCATAACGGTGGCCATTTCGCCTGTCCAACGCTCGGAGCGCATCGGGTCGACACGCCGGGACGGACAGACTCATGCGCGACGTTCGTCCAGCCATCGCCTAAAATGGCCAAGCCGGGCTGTGAGGCTAATAACGACAAACGAGACCCTCTGCGGACATCCACCAGGCACCGGAGCGGCATGACAAAGCAGTCGCCAGCAGCACCAGTCTTCCCATGGGGTCCGCCGCGGATCAAGAGGCGCGCGTCGCGAGGTCATCCACAGTGCCGCCGTCGAGAGGGCCGCCCCGGTCCCATGATGGCGCCCTCGATGCCGTTTCGGGAGTGGGAGGTGTCAGCTCGCGAGCTGATCACACGCCAGACGGCCACCGAGTTCAGCACGGGGCGCCGCCGGTCAGTGGGCATCAGACCAGACGTCAGCTCGCACATCAGACGTCCGCCGGCCGGGGCGGACGGCGGGCGGACGGCGGGCGGACGGCGGGCGGACGGCGGGCGGACGGCGGGCGGACGGCGGGCACCAGCCGCCGGCCCAGAGCACGGCCTACTCACGTCGTCCGACTGCATGGCTGGAGCTGGCCGGCACGTGCGCGGTGGGCGCCGTCAGCTGTGTGTGTCCGGCCCACCGTCTGCAATGCACACACACAAACCGCGGCTGAGCGACCACGTCATCCCCGGACGGGTGCATTACTCAGCGGCCGCCCGCTCTATCCGGGACGGGTCACAAGTCACAACACGTCCAGGTCAGTCAGCTGCGCCTTCACCAGTCGTCCCCTCGGCCACGTGCGCGGCACTCAGCCAGCCGGCTCGCAGCGCACGTGACAGTCAGCAGCTCCAGCCGCACCCGCTCCCCCCGGATGTCGACAGTGGGGTTCCGGTCCCGGGAGGTCACGGTCCCGACCGAAATGCCAGCGCATCTCTGTTGCACCACCGCGTGCCAGCCGTAGCAGGCGGCTCAACACCAATCGATGCTCGGTTCAAGAATAGATAGGATTAACGGTGCACCATCTGACGTCCGTCGGAAGCACCACCTGACGTCCGTCGGATGCATTATCTGACGTCCGTTGGACGGCACCACCTGGGTGTGTTCCACAGTGCTGACAGGCTGGCTCACTTCACACAAAACAACCTACGTCACGTATGTACGAGGGACATCCATAAAGGCATAAGGCCTGTCAATTTTTAACCATGGGAGAGTGCTTTCCGTGTAGAACTAACGGATTTGTGACGAGATCGACCCTCACACGGTGCGTCAGAGCTTCAAACAGAACGATGGTGCGCTGTCGTTGCTTTGAAAGCTATTACCGCACCGCGTGCATGACGTACGTCGCGAGCCCCCCCCCCCCCCCCCCCCCCCATTGCACATTATGTCCCAGGATTAATGTCCCATAATGGTTAATTTCGTCACCAAAATAAGCCATCGCCCGCGGCGCTCAATGCAAAGTGGGCCGTCAAACTGCTTTCAACACTATGGAAATAGCCGTCCAAAGCGGACCGCCAGTTCACGGCGTAATGTTCCCTCAAGCAACTCGGCCAAGACTTTGCAAAGGCGGCGTTCAAAGCAGTGAGGGCGGGTCGGTGCTAATCCAGCCGCCCAGGCGAGGCTGCAGCGGACAGCGCCCTCTGCGGAATGAGTGACGACTGCACGCCGGGTACCTGGCTTCGTGAAGGCCACTTGAGACTTCCCGAAACTCCGGCTGACACGCGGGAGCTTGCCGCGTTAGAGCTCTGCCGATAATGGAGCGGCGCGAGGGCCGGCCGCTGACCGTCGACACGGGAGCGATCCCTGAGCGTCGCCTCGGCGACAGACGAGGCGTTCTGCTTCGAGACGCTCGCTCTGCAACAACAGACCTCTCATCACCGCCCACTGTGCTCGGCGACAGCTTGAGACAAAGCTGTCGCGCACAGCAAAAACGTCGAAACCGACAACAGCACTCCTGGCGCCCACCTGAACGCCCGCGACCATTATTGGCAAAAACAAGGCAAGCGGCATATTCACGGTCCAACTACAGAACTACGCGCGGAAAGGCCTGAACAAACGCATAAATCAAACATGGGAAAAAGCATCGCAAAACGTGTGAGCACCATCCTTTTGGACAATGCTGAAATAGACCTGAACGCCATCATTCGTGTAACACACAAACCCAAATCATCGAACATGAACTGCATTTCAGGGACTCTGCACCACGATCAGCTTTGCAGAGCTGTGGCACTGAATTTGCCTGCTGGGATCACGTGCTCGGCCACCATCTCCACCTTCTCCTGCACGGCACTCCTAAGTCACGTTTCCGGATCATGTTTGGCATCCCGGCCTTCCGCCGCTTGTCCTATCGCGCTTGCCAGCATCCTGAATACCCAGCCCGCTTCATCTAACTCCACATGTTCTCTGTTGGTTGGAGCAGGGGAGTGCTGGGTCATGGTTCTGTTAGTTGGAGCTGGGGAGTGCTGGGTCATGTCTCTGTTGGTTGGAGCTGGAGAGTGCTGGGTCATGTCTCTGTTGGTTGGAGCTGGGGAGTGCTGGGTCACGTTCTCTGTTGGTTGGAGCTGGGGAGTGCTGGGTCATGTTCTGTGTTGGTTGGAGCTGGGGAATGCTGGGTCATGGTTCTGTTGGTTGGAGCTGGGGAGTGCTAGGTCATGTTCTCTGTTGGCTGGAGCTGGGGGGGGGGGGGGGAGGGGGGGGCTGTGTCATGTTCTCTGTTGGTTGGAGCTGGGGAGTGCTGGGTCACGTTCTCTGTTCGTTGGAGTTGGGGAGTGCTGGGTCATGTTCTCTGTTGGTTGGAGCTGGGGAGTGCTGGGCCGGCTCACCTCTTGAGGTAAAAACAACACGACGGTTTCTTCAAGCAGGCACAGCATCTCATGCGGGTGACGCGTGCTGGCGAGATTTGGTCAGAATGTGTGCTGGTCTTCACCATAATGGGTTCTCAAAAAAAGTAAAATTACCTCTTTGATGACTTCTGGCAGTATGCTAGCCAGTTCACATTCTTGCAGCTGGGCGGAATTTCTGCTTCATACCGAGCAGATTTTCTTAACTTAAAGAGGAGAATGACGTGGCAGAGCCTTGCTGCTAATGCAAGTTGTCAAAAATGTATTCACCATCGCACATGGAAAAAGTGAGCCCAGAAGGAATACAGCGGTGTTTTCAGGTGATTCAAGTTTTTCAACAAAAAAGAAAATAAGTGCTCACTCCTCATCCGGCACGGCATTGTCATACCCCACCGCCAACTGCTGTTTTAGGTTGGAGGTCCTGTGGGCGTGGCTGTGCACACGTTCAGCATTATGATCTGACCCCTGGGCGCACATATTTCCATGTTCACATGTTCCCATGTTTCATGTATCAAAATCGGGGTGCCCCGAAACACAAGCGCCCAGGATGGCCAACGGAGGGGTCTTCACCGGGAGCTGTTGATCGGCCTCAACCCAGGCCCCAACTGACTTGCGTTCTCTTCTGACCATGGGTGGCGACACATCACTTCATCCTGGCATCTCGTGAGTCAATGCAGTGGGTGCACAGCAGCTCCTCAACTACGACCACGTCCGTCCCGCACCCAGCCATCATCGGGCAGTGCCGACGTCATCATGTTTGTGGACATATGATGACTGCCATGATCAGACCACTGTGATTGCACTCATACAATCTGTCATGACAGGCAATACTTCTTATGAAGAAAACTCCTGGAGAGGAATCTGAATCCCGTCCTGATTCAAATCAGGGCTAAGCATGCATTGCTTGGCCTGACAATGCCCAGAAATCCATCCTTAAGATTCAAACTTAATGGGAACCTTCCTTCCCACATCCAGCACTTACTCCTTTCAGATCCTCTATAGGGCTGTTGGGGCCTATTCCAGTCGGGTGTAATCTGTTCTATGATCTGGTCTAGCCCATTGGTGCCTGGTGGGGTTTAGCTTTTGCTTTAGCCCACTTTGCAGGTCCAGATTATCATCATATGCCATGCTTTTTCCCAGTCAGACCATGCTGGGTCCAGTCCTTTTTCTACAACTCTTCATCTTTTTCAGTCCCATCTGGGTCCTGCCAGGTGCACTCTACTCTGCACTGGGGCACCACTCCAATCCACTCTGAGCTGAGATGCCCCTCAGCTTCACTCTGCCCTCAGATGCCCCCTCTTCTACTCCATGCTTGAACACCCCTCGGCTCCACTCCAAACTGGGACACTCCTCAGTTCCACTCTGCATTGGGATGCCCCTCTACTCCACTCTGAGCCGGGACACCCATCCGCTCCACTTCGGGCTTGGATTCCATTCTATTTCCAGTCTGAGCTGAGATGTCCCTTCAATCCCCTCTGCACTGGAATGCCCCTTCAGCTCTACCCTGCTCTCTGCTCTTTTATGACTTCTTGCACTGTCAGCTTCACTTAGGTCTAATCTGAACATACCCAATCCTTATCAATCCCAGCCATCCAAAGTCCAGTTTAGAAGCCTCCAGTTAACCATTCAGTAAGCATTTCAAACCTCCTTTAGTCCGTCATTGAGGCATGTGCAAAGATCCCGAAAGATTTCGGGTACTGAGGGCACGTGCTCCTTTGGTGCTCTGTACTCCAGAACCTCTCCAGATTTTGTTCAAAGATTCTATAAGACGTGATGATATGTCTGACATGCTTTTAAATAAAGACCTAGGCAAACGATATTGCTGGCTGTAGGATTTTAAATCTTAAAAATGTTGCGTTGAGATCTTCTGTGATCGTGGATCTTTCTGCGTGATTTGAACACATGTTTATGAATGAGCAATCACATCCACTCGATTAAACTGGTCGATCGCTTACCTGTCCGATCAAGGCAGTCTACCTGATGAACCGTTGTTAGTTCCCACGGAAATCAGCTTTCATTTACCACACAAATCCAACTAACGCCTTACGCGGGTATTACCCCGGTGTTCAACTGAAGCACAACACAAACACCTTCAACATGCCCAGGCGCTGCTGTCTCCTCGTGTCGTCTTGCGCAATAATCGTCATATGCGCTAGATATGAAGCCCAACTCAAGTATATTTATTCTTATTGTTGCATAGACGTCTCAAAATAATTGTTTGCCATTATTTCCTTTTAATTCGATAAATTACTGATTGTTAAAATCAAATTGATCCACAAAATATCGAAATATTTATGAAAAAGACTAAGATTCCGATAAATGTATATTTTCGCAGCTAAATAAGTAGAAGCCACAGGGGTGCTGTGTTACAGGCACTCCAAACTGTAAACATTCATTTTGTGCACCCTGCTGTCAATCGGGGGTGTCACGATCGGAGTTTTGTCTTAATCTGTGCGGCTAGCCCATATCATCAGTTGGTTCATTCAAGGTAAAGTATGCGCATTATTGTTCTGATCAGTATAGTTTTTTCATAAGAACCCCTTAAAACACCGTTGTTAGGTCACATCGTATTATCGCATTGTATATTTTACGCTGGCAAGTTGGGCGTAAAATACATGACCATTGACTAAGCCCACATAAATCTAATGGAGCTTTAAGAGACATTGAAATGTGTTACTTAGTTGTTACGCATCCAGTAATTTCTTGTAACTTGGTATGCATTGAACTGTATTCCTTGCCTGAGGTGCATCTGGTAACTTTTTGTGCCGTGGTGTTCTTAAAGTATTGAATTTGCACCGTAGTTGGCAGTATAAAAGTGTGTCCACCTGTATGCTTAGGATGATACCATGAGGGAAAGGATCGACCGCAACTGAACATGATGCATGTTGTATTTGTTCAAGTCTGCAGAGTTTACTTTCCTTTTCATTCAGGGAAGCTTCAGCTAGTAAAGGAAGTTCCTACCAACAGGGGCATAAATTACCAATTATAACATTTATGTGATAACACATTCTCTTGTACAAAATGGACAGTGATATTGGGACATGGGTGGGTTGATACATGTGCCAAGTCACACACTCAAACCAGAAACATGGAACCATGTATAGGGGGCATTGCTAAGGGTTTGTCTTGGATATCAGGAACCAGGGCAGATGAAAATAGAAGTTACCACAGGGGGTTGGCCAGTGTATCATCTTTAAACCACTGAGCAATCTTAATCTGTTGTTGAGCCCATGGGTGACATAGTAAGACTGTAAAGCAGCTGATGTTTCATTTTCCAGAACTAACAGGAAAGTGTGGCCTATGGCAAGTGGCAGCAGGCCACTGCAGTAAAATCTGTTAATGCAAGTGTCTTTGACAGTAATAAAAATGCCCAGTATGCATGTATAAGCATAGGATTTGGGTTATTTTAATCAATATCAGACTGAACTATTTGAGCTTTTCCAGATGCTTTGGTCACTATCATAAGAATATAGTCCAATCCAAGGCTTCAACTTTATTGATGGAGGTTAATGGGTCCTCAGGGCATAATCAGATAGCAATGAACTGGGTGTAAAGCCAGACAATCTTAAAGCAATGCCAGTTTTACATTTGCGCATAAATGCTGGACATTGTCATGCCTCTCCCACACTAGACACAGGAAAGGCAGAGAGCCTAGCATTTAATTAGACACATTGTGTGGGTTCTTAAAGATGACATGCTCCACTTGTGATATTTTTATATAATCTGGTCAATGGTGAAACTCATGTTTGTTATCACTTTGCTTGTCCCACGCCACAAAAGTGTCTCAGTTTGATTATGCTGGTTGTCCTTATACTAGACTGTGCCAACATAACTTATGTATAGAAACCAACACAAGTAGTTTAATGTATCCATGCCATGGATGATGAATTCAGATGAGGATTTGAAGGTATTCCCCAAGTCTCAGTCTTATGCTCTCATGAGTTGCAAGGTCTTCCTGAGTCTTGGAGTCTCAAAGCTCTTCCTGCGAACCATTCCATGCATACAAGTCATCAGTAAATCTGTTAATGAAGGCAGGCATCATGCATCATCCCTTGTACATTCAAGTTACATTCAAAAGATTACACCACCACATAGTTCAAGCCAGGTAGCATGACTTGCCAAGTGCCGTAGGCTGGTGTAATTGTCATTGTTGATGAGGCCTGCATTGGGCAGCGTGTCATTGAGTGAGATGTGATGTGCTATGTGATGTGATGTAAGCTAGATGTGCCATCAGTGTGGCCACTGCCTGCTTTCAGCCGGATTGGCTGGGTCGACGCTAGAAGCCCACCATGTCGGACGTGCTGGATATTCTGGAGGTGGATCGGGGCGCGGCCGGGCCGGAGATCAGCAAGGAGCGCATCATCGGACCGCCACGCAAGAAGCCGGGACCGCGCGGCAGCAAGCGGCCCGAGGGCATCAACCGTGAGCTGTATGCGCTGCTCTACACAGACAACAAGGACCCGGCGCCGCTTTTCCCCGTCGAGGATGGTGAGTGGGTGGGAGGGAGGACCAGACTGTGCTGTTAAGGATGGTGAGTGGGTGGGAGGGAGGACCAGACTGCGCCATCGAGGATGATGGGTGGGTGGGAGGGAGAGCTAGACCATGCTGTCGAGGATGGTGGGTGGGCAGGGGGAGGGAGGGAGGTAGGACCAGACCGTGCCATCGAGGATGATGGGTAGGTGGGAGGGAGGGCTAAACCATGCTGTTGAGGATGGTGGGTGGGCAGAAGAGAGGAAGAGGGGAAGAGGGGAAGGGCTGGACCGTGCTGTCGAGGATGGTGGGTGAATGGGAGGGTGGGAGGTTTAGTCTATGTCATCGAGGATGGGTGGTTGGGGGGGGGGGGGGGGGGGAGGAAGAACCAGATTGCACTGTCGAGGATGGTGGGTGAGTGGGAGGAAGGGCCAGACTGTGCAGTCGTGGATGGTGGGTGTGCGGGATAGAGGTTTAGACTGTGTCGTCGAGGACGATGGGTGGCCGGAGGGAGGGCCAGACTGTCGTCGAGGACGATGGGTGACCGGAGGGAGACCAGACTGTCGTTGAGGACGATGGGTGCCCGGAGGGAGGACCAGACTGTCGTCGAGGACGACGGGCGGCCGGAGGGAGGGCCAGACTGTTGTCGGAGACGATGGGTGGCCGGAGGGAGGAACAGACTGTCATCGAGGATGATGGGTGGGTGAGAGGAAGGGCCAGACTGCGCGTGTTCGGCGATGTCACAAGCACTGTGTTCCTCTGTGCTCACTGACATTACGATTTGTAGACCTCATGTCATGCATCCATCGCATTGTATGGTTTTATATGTAGCTCATTTTTTTGGTTCTGAGCATCAGTGTGTGAACATGTCCGTGAGTCTTTTACACTGGTAATGTTGCTGCCTGGCAGAGGTATACTTGTGCGATTTATGGACGATTCGAACGAATAGCTCGAACTTTTTGGCGACCAACTGGTTATTTGCACGGTGTGTATTAGGCCATTCACCCTACTGTAGAATGGAGACGCCTTGTCGTGCTGTGACATAGATATTCTGCAAAACCGCATGTATCATTCCACTATGCTGTGATGCTTGCTAGTACGTTGTCACGCTTGTTAAAGAGAACGAGCCATTTTTGAAAGGTATCACAGAAATTTTCCCACTAATTGCCTATCCTACCCACAGTCAACAAGGGCTACAAACAGACCAAGGCTAAGCTGGGCATGCGCCGCGTGCGTCCCTGGAAGTGGACGCCGTTCGTGAACCCGGCCCGCGCCGACAGCACCGTTCTCTACCACTGGCGGCGCGTGGTGGACGAGGACAAGGAGTACGCGTTCGCCAAGTTCAACAAGGCGAGTACCTTGGCCCATGTAGGCTGCCATGACACTTCGCCTTGGGGTGATAAGATGCGTCTCCGTGGTGTTTTTGTGTTATGGCGTTTTCCAGATGATGTTCTGAAGTCGTGAAGGTCGTGGAATAAACCTAGAAATGTCTCAGCCAGAAAAAAATTATGGTCTTAGCATGATGAGGATGTCCCTTCGTTTGCCAGCGTGCCTCGTCAGAACCTGATGGTTAACAGTACTTTGTCATTTTGGGTGCAGTTGCTGGAAGGCTTCATTGCTTTGTACTGTCTTCGTTAGGTGCAGCTTATTGTAGCGCGCCAACACTGGGCTAAACGCAATTGTGGAAGGATTGAGTAGCATAACTTTAAAAGACCTGCTCCGAAAGTGATTTTCCGCAGCATTCGGCCGGTCTGAACGCATCGACGAAAAGTCGGCTCATTTCGTGAATTGCCGTCCGGTCGGCCTAAGCCTGACCTCCGCAGCTTTCCTTAATGGCTGCCCCTCAGCGGGGGCCTGGGGAGTATCGTCGATCGCGCGCTGGCTGTGTGCGTGATTTGGAGACCGCCTGTGGGCGGGCTTGACGCGTCATTGGGCCGGCTGGCGTGACGCCTCCCATTGTTGTGCGGAGCTGGGCGATGTGGGCACCGCGCGGCGAGCCCGCTGTTGTGGGGAAGTTTGCCCCGGCCTGGTGCGGCGCGCCCATCTGCCATCAGCGTGCCCTGCTGTATGACCGCAGTAAATGTCCGAACTTCAGACGTCATGTGAAGTGCCGCGGAGGGCGCCAGCTCACGCCACTATACGCGGTCGTCAGCGGTGTGCGTTAAAGCCGATATACGACGTGACTGCCCTCTCAGCGGTCGCAGAGGCTGTCAACTGCGACAGGGGCCCCAGACGTGATGGCGCCCCCTGGTTATCTCTCCTCGCTGGGCCCATTTATTTCAGTGGAAGGCTCCGCGCGCCACGCGGGAGTATGCTCAGAAACGGGCTGACTGTAACCCTTAGTGAAGCGCTGGCTGGCAAATGGGATGTTGTAATGGATTGTGGGGCCAGAGGGCTTCTTCTGCGCCAAGTGTGCCATAAATCCCGGCTTTAACAGACGGCGAGCCTCGCTGCGAAGAATGTGCGTGTTCCGTCCTGATGGTTTGTAGGAACTCCTCCCTCCCCCCTCCCCCCTCACTGGCACTGGGTTACGCCGGGTCGTATTCGCTGTCGGTCGCCTGACTGCAGGGCTGGCTGCAGTTGGGCGACAGGACGGTGGTTATGCATATATATATATATATATATATATATATATATATATATATATATATATGCCTGGCAGAAATTTTGTATGTTGCTTCCAGCCAGTGGTTTCCGTTTTAAAGACGGGTGGCAGAAAATAACGGTGCCCATGACTTTCAGAAGCCTGGGTGAGAGAGACGGAGACAGGCACAGGCGCAGGCGCAAGCACAGGCACAGGCACAGGCACAGACACAGACGCAGACACAGGCACAGGCTCAGGCTCAGGCTCAGGCTCAGGCTCAGGCACAGGCTCAGGACGGGGAAGATGTGACACTCTCCTGCAGCGAGTAGGTGACACCCATGACACTAACATTCGCTGAAGTTTTTCACATTCATGTCACTGGAGACGTCCCGCTGGAGTACCGCAGATGTGGGGACAGATTCGCTGTAAAGCATGCGCTGCCCGTGTGTGGTGACATCGCCCCTGTGAACAGCCCTTTTCTGTGTGGCACCGCCGTCACAGCTACTAGGTGATAGACCGCAGGCTAGCATTGCTAGTGTGGTATCGTTCCTCCGACATACACATGTGTGTGTGTGCACATGTGTGTGCGGTCGATACCCACCGTGGTGACGGTCCAGCCTATAGCCGGCAGGATCATATCCCGTCCGTGCTTGGTGCGTGTTCCAGTTCTCACATTGATGGTTTCGGCGTGCTCTGTTTGTTTCGTCCTTTGCTTAATTGAAAGGACCTCCTTTGTTTCTCTGAGTAACACTATGGTGGTCAGCACTGTGGGCACACAAGACCGCAGCCGGCCGGGCGCCCTTGCACCCAGAGATCATCGGTATCCGCACGCGGGCATGAGACAGACAGGGGCGCCACCCCGCTGTCCTGAACCGGGCCGGGACCGCGTGTGGCAGTCGGACGCGGCGCCACGGCCGGCTCACCGTCCGCCGCCGCAATTAGTCTTTACAGCGCCGGACGTCCCGCCGCGCAATTACGGCTTAAGCGGCGCGGTAAGACGGCGCCGAGCTGGGCTGGCGTGCCGGGTGCGGCGCGCCGCCCGCCTGCCGACGGCCGGCCGTCGGCGCACTGTTGACAGCGGTGCCAGCCGCTCATCGTTTGCGCAAGTGCTATGCGAGGTCTTCGTGTGTGGTGAGCCGGGCTTACTGCCGAGCCTGAGCCCGGAGATCAACACACAGCCGCGCTGGCGCGTGTGTTGCGGTCGGCGTCCGCGTGCACACGTACGCCAGTTACTTCCTGTAGGCGGAACGGAGTGTGGGAGTGGGGAGGGGCTAGGAGTGGGGCGGCATTAGGAAATCACGAAACCTCTGTTTCTTTAACATGCATAGCGCACTGAGTAAGCCCGTTGACCTGGAGAAGTTCCAGCGTGGGTTGGTATGGGTTTCCTGGTGTCTGGCTGTGCTGACAGTCTCGACATGGTCCGACAGTCCTCACTGACCCTCAGCCGGCCGGCCGACCGCCTCAGCCGCCTTCGGGCGCCGACGGCCGGCTGGTGACACCCGGCGGGACGTCAAATACCCACGACGAATACACAAATGCGAGTGTGTGTGTGTGTGTGTGTGTGTGTGTGTGTGTGTGTGTGTGTGTGTGTGTGTGTGTGTGTGTGTGTGTGTGTGTGTGTGTGTGTGTGTGTGCGTGTGTGCGTGCGTGCGTGTGTGCGTGCGTGCGTGCGTGCGTGCGTGCGTGCGTGTGTGTGACGGTATACTTCCCCGCGGAGGCCAGACCGGTTGTGACGCCACCGTGCCGTATTTGCAGAAGGTGGACGTGGTGTCGTTTACGGACCAGGAGTACCAGCGCCACCTGCAGGCTGACGGCTGGTCTAAGGCTGAGACTGAGCACCTGTTTGACCTGTGTCGCCGCTTCGACCTCAGGTCAGTTCTCACATACCTGCTTAAATGGTGGGACGGGTTGCTGCGATCGTAAAATCAACGGAGGCATTGTTATTGTGAAAAACGACGAAGGGTGGTAGTGTTGGTGAGGGAGAGTAGCCCTCTGCCCTACCCCCATCCCCCTGGGCCACCCCCTCCCTCGCTGCCCGCATTCCACCGGGCCACTTCCCTCACGGCCCGCACCTCACCGGGCTACGCCTCTCTCACTGCCCACACTCCACCGGGCCAGCCCCCCCCCCCCCTTCCTTCACTGTCCACGCTCTACCGGGCCACCCTCTCGCTCACGCCCCACGGGACCACCTCCTCCCTCACTGCCCACACCCCACCGGGCCAACCCCCCCCCCCCCCCTTCCTTCACTGTCCACCGCTCTACAGGGCCACCCTCTCGCCTCACGCCCCACGGGACCACCTTGCCTCCCTCACTGCCCGCACACCACCGGGCCACCCCCCCCCCCCCTTCCTTCACTGTCCACGCTTCTACCGGGCCACCCTCTCGCTCACGCCCCACGGGACCACCTCCTCCCTCACTGCCCACATCCCACCAGGTCACTATCGCTCTCACTGCCCACGCTCCACGGGGCCACCCCTTCCATCACTGCCTACACCCCTACCGGGCTACCTCTCCCTCACTGCCCGCACACCACCAGGCCACCCCCGCCCTCTGCCCGCAACCCCACCGAGTCACCCCTCCCTCACTGCCCGCACCCCACCGGGCCACTCCCTCCCTCACCGCCAGCGGGCGTCCGCCTGGCGTGATGTGCCGTAATCAGACGTTGAAGTTTCCATGCCGCGTGATTCATCGGCCGTGCCGTGGTGCGGCTCTGGGAACGAGGAGGCGGAAAAGACAAAGTCTTAAGTCGCCCCGGGGCTCAGCCGGCCTGCGATACATCACTTCTCGCAAAGCAGCTTACTGCGACGTCCGCGCGGTCTCACTGGGCGAATGGTGGCGTCGGTACCCACCAGCGGCTCAACGCCGCCAGTCTGTCTGACTCCCCGCCAGTCCCGCTCGGTGCACGGTGGTGTTGGTGCCCACCAGCGGCTCAACGCCGTTGGTTAGTCTGACTCCCCGCCAGTCCTGCTCGGTGCACGGTGGTGTTGGTGCCCACCAGCGGCTCAACGCCGTCGGTTAGTCTGACTCCCCGCCAGTCCCGCTCGGTGCACGGTGGTGTTGGTGCCCACCAGCGGCTCAACGCCGTCGGTTAGTCTGACTCCCCGCCAGTCCCGCTCGGAGGATGGTGGCGTCGGTACCCACCAGCGGCTCAGCGCCGTCAGTCTGTCTGACTCTCCGCCGGTCCCACTCAGCGAACGCTGGCGTCGGTACCCACCAGCGGCTCAGCGCCGCCGGTCCCACTCAGCGAACGCTGGCGTCGGTACCCACCAGCGGCTCAGCGCCGCCGGTCGGTCTGACTGCCATGTGGACGGTGGCGTCGGTACCCACCAGCGGCTCAGCGCCGCCAGTCTGGCTGACTCTCCGCCGGTCACACTCATGGAACGGTGGCGTCGGTACCCACCAGCGGCTCAGCACCGTCGGTCTGTCCGACTCTCCGCACGATCTCACTCGGCGAACGGTGGCGTCGGTACCCACCAGCGGCTCAGCGCCGTCGGTCGGTCTGACTCTCTCCCCTGTGGACGGTGGCGTCGGTACCCACCAGCGGCTCAGCGCCGTCAGTCTGTCTGACTCCCCGCCGGTCACACTCATCGAACGGTGGCGTTGGTACCCACCAGCGGCTCAGCGCCGCCGGTCGGTCTGACTCTCCCCCGGCACTCCCGGCCCGGCCGTCAGGTTTATCGTGATGCAGGACCGCTGGGATCGCGGCAAGTTCGCAGCCCGCTCCGTGGAGGACCTCAAGAGCCGCTACTACAGCATCTCCAGCATCCTCTCCAAGGTGAGGTCGGCGGCTGGTGGCAGGCGGGCGGCCGGGATGCGAGCAGGCCGGAGTCCCGGAGACGGAAGCGGCGGATCTGGAGCGTTGACAGCCCGTTGACGGCCGTGCGACGTTACCTCCTGGCGTGTCATTGCATGCCTGGTGGAAGGTTTTTTCACATGATTTGTAATCACGCCAGACCTTTTAGCTGCGTTGTTTTCTTTGTCGTGAACTGCTCATGCTGGGTTATGTTTACTTTTACTTACTATGAAACTGTACCGGTGCATAGGCGCCTGGCGTATTCTTGTTGGTGACGTTTTTGCAGCTCACTATCGGCGCCAGTCCTGACTGCGACCTTGCGCTTGCTGTTCGTCTCAGCTCTGCGCGGAATGTTTTGATAGCACGCTGTCCGCCTCTGTTCTGTCTTGCTGCCGGGAGGGAGTGAACAAGTGCTTGTGTTTCAGCTGCGTCTAGAGCCAGGCCAGCCACATCCGAAGGAGTTTGCATACGACGCCGCGCATGAGAGGAAGCGGAAGTTGCAGTTGAAAAAGCTCTTCAGCCGGTCACCGAAGCAGGTCAGGCAGCCGGCCATCTGGCGGGCATGTGTTGATATCGGCGTTGGGAGGACGCCACCGGATACCGTCACACTTTTGTGCTGACAAATGTCCGGGAGGTGGGATGTCACGTGATGTGAGCGTGGCGCACAGTATTGTCTCCCAGCTGGTGTTGCGTGACTGAGCTTGTCCCGCTGTCTGTGGTCATCCATGGCATTGGTTCAAGCTCAGGTGGACACTTCCGCAGCTACTCGCGCAGGCATATACCTTGTGATCCTCGTCTTTTGATGACCCGCGCCAAGGCTGCCATCTGACGTATGCAGACCGTCGCCTCAGAGTTCCTCCCCTGAGATCCATGCTGACAGTGACCTCTGCCGATTGCTCGGCCATGACGGCGGCTGACTCTGTCTGTCTCAGACAGAGGTCCTCCCCCGGGTGATCCATGCTGACAGTGACCTCTGCCGATTGCTCGGCCATGACGGCGGCTGACTCTGTCTGCCTCAGACAGAGGTCCTCCCCCGGGTGATCCATGCTGACAGTGACCTCTGCCGATTGCTCGGCCATGACGGCGGCTGACTCTGTCTGCCTCAGACAGAGGTCCTCCCCCGGGTGATCCATGCTGACAGTGACCTCCGCCGATTGCTCGGCCATGACGGCGGCTGACTCTGTCTGCCTCAGACAGAGGTCCTCCCCCGGGTGATCCATGCTGACAGTGACCTCCGCCGATTGCTCGGCCATGACGGCGGCTGACTCTGTCTGCCTCAGACAGAGGTCCTCCCCCGGGTGATCCATGCTGACAGTGACCTCTGCCGACCGCTCGGCCATGACCGCGGCTTACCCTGCCGGCCTCAGACAGAGGTCCTCCCCCGGGTGATCCATGCTGACAGTGACCTCTGCCGACCGCCCGGTCATGACCGCTGACCCTGCCGGCCTCAGACAGAGGTCCTCCCCCGGGAGATCCATACTGACAGTGACCTCTGCCGACCGCTCGGTCATGGCCGCGGCTGACCCTGCCGGCCTCAGACAGAGGTCCTCCCCCGGGAGATCCATACCGACAGTGACCTCTGCTAACTTCTCGGCCATGACCGCGGCCGACCCTGCCGTCCGTGACCGCAGATCGAGGAGGAGCAGCACCTGCTGGCCGAGCTGCGGAAGATCGAGGCGCGGAAGCGGGAGCGGGAGAGGAAGACGCAGGACCTGCAGAAGCTCATCAACTCGGCCGACACGGAACACCGCAAGGCGCAGAAGACGCCGGGCGCCGTCAAGAAGAAGGTGTTCCACGTGGGCAACAAGCCGCCGCGGGAGCGACTGGAGAGCACGGTACGCAGACTCGGGTCCAGCAGAAACAGCGCCCCACTCCCATCACGGCGGTGCGGGAGCCCGGTTGGGCTCCGTCCCAGGCCCTGTTTGTTCTACCTGTGCCCTGTTGCCCGCCAGTGTGATCGGTCCGCTCTTTTTGCGCGTCGCTTATCATCGACGTCAGTTTGTGTATGCTTTGCAGGGAGTCCCGAGTGCCCATCCCACCCTAGTCGTGTTCCGCCATGTCCTGTGTGGGCCGAACCTGCCTCACCTCCGTCGCCCTGCCCCGCCCTCTCTATTGGACTGGACAGAACTGGCTTGTCCCCATCCCTGTGTGATCGCTCTGCCCAAGCCCAGTCTGTCTCCTTGTGAAGGCATGCCCTGTACTGCCGAAACCAGACGACCACTGGCCAGACGCGCGTGTGTGTGTGTGCTCCCCCCCCCCCCCGCTCCTATGGGTTGTCCAGCCCAGCCCAGCCCGCGTACGCGCTGCCCCGGCCGGACCCCCCCCCCCCCCCTCCCCTCCCCTTCGCCCTCAGCAGTCGGGTGGCGAGGGCGGCTCCATCAAGTTTCCGGACCTGCGCAGCAGCGGCGTCAGCCTGCGCTCCCAGCGCATGAAGCTGCCGGCCAGCATCGGCCAGAAGAAGGCCAAGGCCATCGAGCAGCTGGTGCAGGAGCTGGGCATCGGTGGGTGCGGCCGGGCCACCCCCGGTCATCACGGGGCGCACAGGCAGGCGTGCATGTTTGAGTATACTTGGAACTACAATGAAAAGGAGTTGCAAAGCTTAGTGGATCCATCAGGAAAGTTCCAGTGTTAATCTATAATGATATAATGTTGTGTGATATAATATGATGTCTAATGATGTCTGTAGTGATATAATGCTGTGTTATGAACCTGCTTGTGAAGAATAGTCCCTTATGACCTTGTGATATGCTCTCTATGGGTTCCGGTAGTGTAGTGGTTAACGCGTCTGCGCTAATCACTGCGCGTCTGGGAAACCAGAGGTACGGCGTTCGATTCCCCGTGGTGCCTGCCTTTCCTGCGAGGGTGAGAGGCACGCGACGCCATGTAGCCTCAGCAGTTGGGTGCGTCATAAACCCCGGTGGCAATGACGGATACGCTCGGTAACTTTTCTGAGACACAGCTGATGAGCAGCTACGTTGCGCTCACGGCACCAAAAGTCAGGGGCGTATAATCCGATTTAGACCACGCTAACTTGGCAAGAGACCTAGATGACTCAATCACAGGCGCAAAGCGACAACAGTTAGCAGCAGTGTTGCCGCGTGGTGGAGGCCCGAAAGAGGCGCCGTAATGGCAGCACCGCGTGACTGGTGACCCTCTGCCCCGACAGAGATGAGCCCCATGCCCACCGAAGACATCGCCACCCAGTTCAACGAGCTGCGTAACGACATGCTGCTGCTGTACGAGCTCAAGATGGGCCTCAGCTCTTGCGAGTTTGAGCTGCAGACGCTGAAGCACCAGTACGAGGCGCTGGCGCCCGGGAAGGTGAGCGCCGCCGGCCGCCGCAGCCGGCAGATGGCAGGCGGCAGGTGCTTCATGGCCGCTGATATGTGCATGTGCTATTGGTGTGTAGTTTGTAATGGTCGTTTTGTTGTAATTGATGTGTTTGATATATTTGGTACTGCAGCGTGCTGTGGTGTGCTCTATCCCAGTATCATACTCGCGAGAGGGGCAGACATGGTTATGGACAGACTACGGCAGACGACGCAGACATCCACATCACGATGTGGATGTCTGCGTCGGTCCTCTGTGACGCGGTGTGACTCGACTCCCTGTGACGCGGTGTGACTCGGCCCTCTGTGACGCGGTGTGGCTCGGCTCCTTTTGACGCGGTGTGACTCGGCTCCCTGTGACTCGGTGTGACGGTCTTCTGTGACGCGGTGTGACTCGGCTCGCTGTGGCGCGGTGTCACTCGACCCTCAGTGGCGCGGTGTGACTCGACTCTCAGTGGCGCGGTGTGACTCGGTGTGACTTGGCTATATGTGACTCGGTGTGACGCGGTGTGACTCGGCCCTCTGTGACGCGGTGTGACTCGGCTCTTAGTGACGCGGTGTGACTCGGCTCCCTTTGACGCGGCGTGACTCGACCCTCTGTGACGCGGTGTGACTCGGCTCCCTTCGACGCGGTGTGACGCGGTGTGACTCGGCTCTCAGTGACGCGGTGTGACTCGGCCCTCTGTGACGCGGTGTTATTCGGCGTGGCTCGGCCCTGTGTGACTCAATGTGACTGGGTGTGACTCGACTTTCCGTGGCTCGGTGTTTCTCGATGTGACTCGGTGTAACTCGGCCCTCTATGACACGGTGTGACTCTGCCCTCTTTGGCTATGAACCGCTAGCAAAAGAGATACTATTAGAAATGACAGGAAGCATATTTGTTATGGCAGAGTTGTTTTACAAGGGGTGTATGGTTGCGCACGACGGTGGACTAAAATGACAGCACCAACAGCGCCAGTACTTGTAGTCGGGACCACTGATCGCAAGCTACGTTCTCTTCGGTGTAGTTGCCGTTGTTTTTCCCGAAGGTGCCATTTAGCCAGGCGTGACACACGCCCACACGCCGTCTGCTATTATGAATGCTGGCACAACTGAATCACGATCGTTCACCCATCCCCGAGCTCCTGCAATTCTGCGGATGTGTTCATGTTGGTCTGTTCGGCATGGTACACTGTTGACCAGGGACGTGCACTACGTATAGGGTCTGCTGCAGCAGCACTCCCCGGTCGTCCGGTCGTGTTGATTTGATGCGCCGTATCAGTATGCTGCGGTGAGCAGACCCGTGAGAGGCCCGTTTATTATATGCATTAGTGTATATTTAGAAGCCCGGTGCCGCTGACTGTAACCGTGGCCAGCATCAACGGCGTGTCACCGGACAGCGAGAGGGCGGAGAAGGCGCTCAAAGGCGCTCCACGAGGCGTGCAGATGCCGTGCATGCTCGCGTTATATCTTCCTGAAGGTGGTGGTAGCGGCCTGCGACCAGATCATGGGGCCATTGCCCGTGTCTTTTGACTATTCGTTTGGCGACCCTGGAGATATATGGCATCTTGTCATGTTTCCTACGTTGCATTACTGCGGACGTTTGGCATAGTTTGGTGTCGCTTGGCGTAGCAGTTTCCGCTTGATTCACTGAGCGGATGTGCGACGCTGGTGTCGCGTCGGTGTTGTGCCGCCTCCAGTCATATAACGTCAACTCGCATAGCGATGATGTGCAGCGTGTCGTGATTAGTTTGTGCTAAGCTTTCATTGCTGGCGTCAGTTGGCAGGCTCGGCCGCATGTGAGGACGCTGCAACAATCTTTGCTCGAGCTCCGCGGTATATTTTCCACTGTTCGGCCTCCATACAGCCTCACGGACACAGAGGGCCTTGCCGACACCGACATGTAGATTGAGTAACCATGACCGGCACCAGATGGTCTGGAATAATGTGGACCATCACGAAGGCTGAACCGGTCGTATGTGCATTTTCCACGTCTCTATGTGCAGCCATCTGTTGTGTATCGGGCTAGAAAACGTGCACGCAGACAGACGGGCGTACGCTCGGCGATTTCGTGTTTGGATTCGAGCCAGTCGACGTATGGAGCAGCTTCTGGTGGTTTGTTCCACGTATCTGCCCGTGCCAAAGCCGCAGTGGACCTGCGATGCGGGGACCGGTTCGTGTGAGCTGACCCTCGGTATCAGCGCGGTGTACATGCATAAGCTGGGGTGTTATCTGTCAGCGTGAATTAGTAATGTTCGCTGTCATATGTATGCCACACTGTCAGTTGTACATTTGTGACGAACATCGAGCTGTGTGTATGGGTCGTGCCCTGCTCTGGGCCTTCATTTTGTCGGCACCCGCGGCGCTGCTCTGCCTCGGTTTGAAGTCTACCTCATCGCTACGCTACACGCCGTGTCGTGACGATGCCACGGCATGACGTGCCGCTCCGTTTCCAGACGCTGGAGATCCCGGCAGCGATCACACCCAGCTGGCCTCGACATCAACCGGCCCAAGACCATCTCGGAGGTGCTGGACATCCACGGCGGGCAGGGCACGCCCACGGTACGGCACAGGCCGCCGGCAGGGCGCGCCACACGCCCGGCACGGGCCACCGGCAGGGCAGCGCCACCCGGACCGGCTGGTCGGCATCGGCGGCGGACGGGTGGCACACGAGCTGGCTCGCAGTGGGTGGGGTATGTGGGTCAACAGTAGACGGGGCACGTTGGTCAGCAGTGTCTGGGGTATGTAGGTCAGCAGTGGCTGGGGTATGTGGGTCAGCAGTGGCTGGGGTATATAGGTCAGCAGTCGGCGGGTTATGTGGCTCAGCAGTGGGTGGGGTACTTGAATCAGCAATCGGTCGGTTCGTCTGTATCAGCAGCGTCAGGGTCGGGCTCGGGCTGGATCAGCAGATGGCGGTCGCAGGCGGGCCGACAGTGTGGACAGCCCGGGCTACCTCGAGAGGCGAGGGAGGTTTATGGCGCAATTGCTCAGAGCATGGATAGCGTTGCCGTCCAACATGTATCTTATTTTGCTCATGTCGAGGAACGCATTGGTGACCAGTGTCCCGCTGTGGACAGTCACCGGTCGTGAGCTGCTCACGTGTGATGTGCGGCGGCCCGTCCGACTGAGCTGCTTTGCGACCTTTTCACAGAGAAAACGGAAGGCCGCCTTGGAGCAGAGCAAGGTGCTGCACAAGATCAAGGCGCGCACGTGATGGCAGCCGTCGGTGGCGTGACGCAGTGTGCGCCGCTGACGCCGGCGCCACCTGGCGGCGTGTCTGCGGCGGACAGGCCAGCAGGAGGACCGGCCGGTGGCGGACCGTTTGCCGGTGCCGGCCGACACTGGCGGCCGAGGAGCCGCGGGGATGCTTCGTGACCGTAGCCGTGGCCCGACCGTGTCGTGCGGACCGTCAGCAGCAGCAGTGGCGGCGGCCGGCTGCCGCTCGGGGCGCCCAGTGCCGCGGCGGCGGCTCTGCGTACCAGCCGGATGGGCCAGCAGCGCCTGTGTACAGCGCGGGGTGCGGCTGCCAACTGCTGCTCGGGCCGCCCAGCGCTGGAGTGCGGCCGCCAGCTGCCGCTCGGGCCGCCCGACGCGGGGGTGCGGCCGCCAGCTGCCGCTCGGGCTGCCCGGCGCCGCGGCGGCAGCGCCTGCGTCCAGTGTTGGCGCGTGGCCACTGCCGGTGGTCGTTGGACCGCTCCGCCGAGGGAGGGAATACACTCGACGTTTTGCTCACGAGTGTGTATGTAATGGTGATACGCCAGTGGAGATAGGACCGAGCCGGCGGCCCGGCCCGCTACAGAACTCGCTCCCTGAGTGCAGTCGAACATGCTCGCGTGCGCTCCCACCGCCGCCGCCAGGGCGCGGGCGGGCGCGCCGTCACGCGCGGCACAGCACACTCCTAAGCTCTCAGGGTCCGCACTGATGCCGCTCGGCACACACGCACGCCACTGCTACCGTCTTTGGCACTAACAAACCCACACGTCGTGCGGCCGCCCGCCGGCGGGCCGCGGCGACTGCACAGTCCCCTGTCGCGCGCACTCGCACACGCACTCTGCTGTCCCACTATCACGCACTCTGTTGCCCCACTATCTACCCCACACGGTGAAATTGCACTTGTTTTGTGAAAACCTCACTTAAATAGGCACGGCGGCGTGCCACTGGCCCAGCCCGCGACAGCCGTCGTTGCAAACCGGCTCTCGGCCGCTCCGCCTCTCGCTCGCGGGCGTGTATCACATGCTGTCCCGGCGGACGCCGTCGCCATCCCGGGTCAGCGCTAGTTCTCGGTGGTTACGTGGTTGGGCCGCCGCCCGTGGCCAGGGTGACACCAGCCCCGTGCTGCGGCGCTGTCCGGCGGCGGCCGGCTCAGCCGGATCGGAAGCCCTCGCGGCGGCCCTCGTGCAGCGGAATGTAGCGCGTCTCCGGGCTCTCCCAGGACGAGAACAGGTGGCGCAGGAAGCTGAACCGATGGCCGCGGGAGCGCGCGGCGCGGCCGGCGGGCGGCGCGCGCAGGTGCGGCGGCGCCACCGCCGTGCTCGGGATGTGGTCAGCTGCGGGCCGGTCGAACAGCTCAGGCGGCAGGTACTGCACGTAGTAGACGGGCTCGGTGGTGGGCGGCGGTCGCCGGTGGTGGCGGCCGCGCGCCGCAGCGGTGCCGTTGGCGCGCGCCCGGCCGCCCACCGCCTGCAGGACGGCCTTGCCGCGGCGTGTTGAGCCGGTGCTGTTGGTGACGCGGACCAGCCGGGCTGGCGGGGGTCGGCGGCCGGCGCCGCCCGGTCGTCGCTGGCCCTCGGCGCCGCGTGGCCCCTCGGCGGGCCCGCTGCGCACCCCCTGGATCACGATCACGCCCAGGTCGTCCGGGCCGCGCACCGGCTTGGCGTCCGCGGCCGCTTTGGTAGTCTCGCCCGCGCCCGTCGGCTCCGGCTCCGAGGAGCGTGTGGCCGGCTCGTCGGCTGGGTTGGCGGTCGGCTCACCCGGCCGGCCCGTCGGCTCGTCGGCCGGCTTGTCCTGCCCGGATTCCGAGATCAGCTCGATGTTGACGAACGGCTCTGCACTGGGCGGCGTGGCGTCGGTGGTCGGCAGTCGCTGCGAGAACGGACTTCCGAACACCCGTTTGGGTCCGGCGCTACCACCGCCGAAACTGCGCACGTGGTTGGAGCTGATCTCGTCCAGCGGTGGCGGCTCCGGGATCGTCTGCGGGTCACAACGCCACGCGTCGGTCACGGTCGGGGCTTCCACATGACAAAACGAGACTTGGCAGCATTGATCTAGCGTATTACAGGGACGCCACTACAAATGTCAGATGCGGTGTGAAGGTGTAGCTGTAGATAACCAAGCGCTCAAAGTCGTAGTACTTAGCCACCTGACTTCTTGCTTATTTCTTGAAATAATACGGATGAGAAATAAATAGATGAGAGAACTTGAGACCTCGGTAAGGGTCTCAAGACCCGTACGCGCTTGACTGACACGTGGGTAGGGGTCTCTAGACTCGTGCGCGCTCGACTGACACGTCCGTATGGGTTTCCAGACCCGGACGCGCTCGACTGACACGTTGGTAGGGGTCTCCGAAGCCGGGCGCGCTCGACTGACTCGGTCGGACCTCGCTCACCTCCGCGACGCTGGCGGGCGGCAGAGGCGGCGGCGGTGAGTTCCAGAAGCTCGGGTTGGGCCGGAAGGAGGAGACGCGGCAGTTGCCCGGCCGCAGGTTCAGCACCACCGGCTTCCCGTTGGGTAGCACCATGTTCCGCTGGCAGTAGGACATGCTGCAACGAAGCGACACGCGGTGGGCGTCAACCACGGCAGTCACGGGCGCCTGCCCGCGAGTATCACAGCTGTGCTGGGCACCAACCATCTGCCAACACCAACACCCGGCCCGACGAAGATCGCAGCGATCCTAACGCGTAGAAGCTAGCTGACACTCAGGTTTTTGTGTCGGTTGTGCGGGTCACATTGGGACGGGTGCGTTCATGTCATCCAGTGTGGCGTACTGGTACTCCTCACAATTTGAGAGACCCGTGCGGTTGTGCGGAAACCTATCTGGCTTCCACCCACTTGGATTTATCCAGCCGAAACGGCACCAAACACCGCGCTCATAGCGTGTCGCACCGATGACAGCTTGCCTTGGGTCGGGCCGGTGTTTGGACTATCCAGCGAACACCCGGCTCCTGACCTGAGGTTGTCTGGCCAGTAACGTCCGCATACAAAAGTCTGCCGCATGACTGACGTCCGCTCACTGTTATCGGGGGCGTGCAAACCACCCGCCCTCCACATATTTGCATGGAACACTCCGGAAGACGCAGTTGACATCAACGGACAGCGGACTCCAAACCGGCACGCGGTGTATTTTCAGCACCGCACCGCCAGACATTGTGACATGCTTCCGCGCATAGTCGGTCGGCATAGGGGCGGCCCGCGCTGTGTGCGTGTTTGCGCGAGTCTGCGGCGAGAGTGCGCCACTTACGCCAGTGCAAACGGACGGGCGCGGCTGCAGCCTCACTGCGGGCACCGTAGGCCTGTGCCTGTCTGCGTGTCGCCACAGCCTGCCCTCACGCCAGGCGGTTACTGCCTTGGTCACGTCCCCCTGACTGTCGCTCCTGGCGCGTCACCAGCGCCGCTCCGCTGCTCCGTCCGCGGCGCCCCGACGCGTCACAACTCACGTGCTGCCGAAGCTGTTGACGATGGCCACCTTGTCGATGGTCCAGCTGTCGGCGCCGGTGTAGAGCCAGCCGTTGTAGGCGGTGTAGCGGAGCTGGAGCTGGCCGATGTGCCGGATGGCCGGGTGGGCCACCAGCATGCGCACCAGCGGCCGGCCAATTTCGTCACCGTCCCCGCTGACGACGACGGGCAGGGAGGTGTCAGAGGGCGGCTCCGGTCCGTGCGGCGGACAGGCAGGGGTCAGAGGGCGGCTCCGGTTCGTACGGCGAACAGGGAGGCGTCAGAGGACCGCTCCGGTTCGTACGGCAGACAGGCAGGGGTCAGAGGACCGCTCCGGTTTGTACGGCGAACAGGCAGGGGTCAGAGGACCGCTCCGGTTCGTACGGCGGACAGGCAGGGGTCAGAGGACCGCTCCGGTTCGTACGGCAGACAGGCAGGGGTCAGAGGACCGCTCCGGTTTGTACGGCGAACAGGCAGGGGTCAGAGGACCGCTCCGGTTCGTACGGCGGACAGGCAGGGGTCAGAGGACCGCTCCGGTTCGTACGGCAGACAGGCAGGGGTCAGAGGACCGCTCCGGTTTGTACGGCGAACAGGCAGGGGTCAGAGGACCGCTCCGGTTCGTACGGCGGACAGGGAGGCGTCAGAGGGCGGCTCCGGTCCGTACGGCGGACAGGGAGGCGTCAGAAGACCGCTCCGGTCCGTACGGCGGACAGCGGGTCAGAGAATCGTACTATCGTACAGAGAATCCTGTCCAGAGATCGTACGGCGGCGGCCTAGCCTGCCCTGAGACGGTTGAGTCAGCAAAATGCTGTCCATTCTTGGTATGCCAAACATGTGCCACTTATTCGTTCTGTTCTGGATTTCCCCATTCTGGATTTGTTTATTGTCGACATTGATTTACTTGGATATGATGCATGCAACAGCTCGATAGCAGAGTGCACGCCCTCGGCGCCCCTCCCCTTGAATATGACACTGGCGTTGAGGCCCCTGTGTGGGGCCCCATTTTATCCAGAAGGCCCCCTGGAAAATCCTGCCCTCCCCCAACTCGAAATTCGTTGCGCCGCTCTTGCTCAGTGCTAAGTGAACAGAAGACCATGACCTTGACCTCCGGCATGTCTAGTTGATCAGCCAACTGGCCGTTAGAATTCATGGCAGCGATGGCTCATCTTACCACCCATCCCAAGTGCCGTGCCCGCACCGGGCGGCGCTCCCCGGGGCCAGGCGGCACGCCCGGGGCCGCGGCCGCGCCAGCAGCCGGACCGCCAGGGCTGGCGCTTACTTGGTGAGCGGGAAGGTCTCGTTGACGCCGTTGCTGGAGACCAGCGTGACGTCGACGCGGCCGTACGTCTGTCCGTCGGGACCGTTCTGGCCGCTCACCATGACACGGTGCTGGTTAGCTGCAACGGAAGCGACGGTCACCATCCGCCGGCCCCGCTGGCAGGCCGGGCGCGGGCGCGGCCAACAGCGGCCCCGTAAAACGGCCTGTCATGGACGGCATGGTCATACTGGAGCGTCCGTGTACCACGCGCGCGGTAGGACAGTGGAGTCTCGTTGGGCATTCGGGCCGTATTGGAGACAGCTGTAAAAGATATGAGAGTGACGTTGTGCTATTTAGTGTGTAATGGCTTCAGTGTAGGCGGGTCGGTATGGAGCCGATAAGCCCGTTGATTAGGAATGTTGATTCCGTGCGATACCCGACAAAGAAGCGCTTCTTCTCGTTGCCTTCTGGTCCACACAATTATACCTCGCGAATGCGAACGGGTTATATTTTACGGCCTATTTCCTTAATGGGACGGGTTCGGACACTGTGAACCCGTCAGGCCTTAGCCGGCCTCAGAGTTGGCAGACCAACACGACGCTGGGGCCGCCCTGTGGTCCGCTCAGTCCGCACAGTCCGCGCAGTCCGCACAGCCCGCTCAGTTCTGCTCCGCTCAGGTGTAGGCTCGCCGGGCTCGCAGTCCGTTTGATGTGATCCGGTGGTTCGGGATGTTCTACTCCGCCTTAACGTAGTCTCCAGTCTAGTGCCGTCCGATCTGGCCTGATCTTGTCCAGTTTCGCTCGCCCGTCTCGTCTCGTCGCGTCTCTCCTCGTTGGGTTCGGCACCTGGCATGGTCTCGGCCGGTCTGCCTGACACCGGCCCGGTCTGCCCTGTCCAGACCAGTCCAGCCCGGTATGCCGCGGCCTGTTGTCGCCTTTTCTCGCGCGGTCCGGTCTGTCGCGGTCCGAGAGTGGCTGCGCCGGAAGAGAAACCGTGCCCCGGCGCTGTACAGGCTTGGTTAATGCCAGCTCACGGCGTGACGAGCTGGAGTGGATACAGCGCTTCGCTGCCCAGCAGGCCTCCGATTATTAGATGATGATAGACATCTGTCTGATGATATACACTGGCCAGACGAACACCAAAAGACCTGCTGCCGGGGATACCAATAGTGTAGTGGTTAAGCTACGCGTCTGGGAACCCACTGATACAGGGTTCGACTATTCGCGGTCTTCCCCCTTCCTGCCAGGGCGAGAAGCAGGCGGCGTCTTTCAGCATCAGTAGCTGAGTGTGTCGTGAAGCCCCACTGACAACCACACCTACGCGTCGCACCGCTGCATTCCGGTTCACTTGTAAGGACAAAACGTAGTTGTCCGACGTACGTGTCTGTACAACGAGAGAGCGCCTCTCGATGTTTGTAATTTCAAATACGGTTCGACGCATGCCTCCAGCTGGAGGATACAGTACTGTTTGTATGCAGATGGCGTACTGATAAATAGTACACCTATTTGTTCGGGCGCTCGAGCCATTCCACTAGTCGGACAGATGCGCTTTGCTGAACTGTGTCGCCCACAGTCACAGCGCGGAGCCAGTTGGCCTTGCAAGGAACCGTTAGGATCCACGCCGCCCGGGACAGAGCTAGACGGAACCGTGTGGTGCCTGCCTGTCGACGCCGGCACCGATCTTGCCGGGCCCGCTGCAGGTCAGACTGGACTGACGGCCACGCCCTGCACCCGCCACTCCAGCCGGACCGCTGACGGCCGCGCCCGCCGCGCCGCCAGCTGTTTTCCTTTTCATCTCCGCCGCGCGGCGCGTTTTTGCGCGACAGCGCGGGCCGCGAGCGCGCGAGACGGCTAGCGCGTGACGGTTGGTGCGCGTGCCATCGGGCCGGCGACACGCGCCGGTCCGTTGACGGTCGGCTGGGTTCCCACGCGGGCGCGCTCGGCCCCGGCCCGCTCCCACGGCTGGCGGTGCCCCGCTGGCCGGGCTCGGGCGTCCACCGCCGGCGCCAGACGAGACAGCTCGGAATGGTGGACGCAGCCGGCGGCGAAGGGGACTGGCTGTCAAGCGCCTCGTTGTCGAAGATGGGATAGAGCCGCTGACGGGGGGCGCAGACCGCAAACCACGGCGGCGGTATGCCGAGAACTCGGAGTCGTCGAATACTGAGATGTGCGGAGTGTTGGTATTGTCTTAACGAACTATGCAGACTTTGGGCACGCTACTGTGTCGCGGTGATGATTTGGACATGTGGCTCTATCACTGACCGGGGAAACTGGGCTTATCCTAGCCTGTTTGTCTCTGGTTACGGAATAATGTCGATCTAGATGAAAGTCGCAGTCATTGAACTCATTACGTACGTTTGCTGATCCTCATCGCAGGACGCTGAAGACGTATCGCCATGTGTGGGCGTGAGGCGAGCAATGAACAAAGCGCAAGCAAATGCTAATGCAACTGAGCCTCTCTGCATCACAAGGCAAAACCGCAGCATTTGGGGAAGACACTAATGCGCTCATTGCAGATGCTTTTGTCCCTGAAGTGTATATCACGATTTATTTCCCGCACTAAATAATTTACCGATAAAATGCGTGCGCGCTGGGGAGGTTTGGGGCGACGCGCACGTGTGAGAGCGTACCTGGGTGAGCTCAGCCAGCTGGTCTGGTCTCGGAGGGCTCTACGGCGATCGGGCCGGCTTACCAAAACAGCGTGGTCTCCTGCTTACCAGCGTCCTTGTTGGGAGAAGCCTTCCTTTGCCCGATCCCTCTGGCTCACGCGGCGCCCATCAAGTCATGTGAGCGCGGTGCACACTCAACAAGCACACGAACCACGGCCGTTGCAGTTCGTCCAAAGGTCCGTCGGTCACTGTCAGACACTTCGGTCAATCAAATCCGCGGCACAGTTTGGTATTGTGGAACGACGACTGCATATCGTTAGTCAAGCACAGCGTTGCGTGATGTGCCCTTGCTTTCTTAACTGCCGCCGTTTGTCGCAGCTTAACAGTGGAAATGAAACGATTATCCCCAGGACTGCAGCGGGAGAATATGCAGTAGGTTTCAGGGTTCGAGTGAGAATCAAAACCCCACAGCCAAACAGTGAAATTCGAGGCGAAATTCACTGGTAGCGAACCCTACTAAAACCGTATGTTATAGACGTTTCCTTTGACGTGCATTCACCGCAACGTATTGGTCGGACGAACCGAATCAGTCTGCCACAATGTCCCTCTGTTCCCACACGTCTGAGGGCAAGCAAACGTCATCTGGAGTCGAGCCCAGACCGGTGGTGCAGACTCACCACAGAACGGCTCCTCCTCGCGCGTCACCAGGAACAGCTTGCCGCGCGCGCTGGACCGGTCGGCGTAGTAGCCCATCTGGCCGCAGACGTTGCTGCCGCCGCAGGGGAAGCAGTCGCCGGCCAGCAGGCTCTCGTAGCTGTCACACGGCACCGCCGGAAACGTGCAGAGTGGCGAGATCGAGTCGATGAAGAAGCGGTACGAGCGCCGGTGGTTGCAGAGCGAGCGGCCGTCACCCGGACCGGCTGCGGCGGGGAATGGAATGATCAGTCTAGAGCTCCTATGGTGGGACACGGGGATCAGTCGAGAGCTTTTGTTGTGGCACACGGGGGATCAGTTGAGAGCTGCTGCTGCGGGACACGGGAAACCAGTTGGTAGCTGATGCTGCGGGACACAGGGGATCAATCGAGGGCTGCTGCTGCGGGACACGGGGGTCAGTTTAGAGCTGCCGCCCGCACGGGGACGCGCCGATGCTCATCGTACGCTGTGGCATGAGATGTTTCCTTAGTAGTGCACATAAGAATATGAGTGAACAACAGAGACGAATTTGACGACCACTTGTGCAGCACCGTTATCATAATGTTACTGTAGAGCTTTTGGTTCTTCTACAAAGCTGCTATGAGGGCCAATCTGAGTAATGGATCGTTGTAACCTTCGTTACTTGGACCCGTCTCGCAAATTTCATATCCCAGCGCTCCAGTGAGCCGGTTCCTTACACCAAATGAGGTCACTGAAGGCCCCGATGAAGAGGTTGGTGCAGCCCTTCTGCATGCGGCCGCCGTTGGGGTAGAAGTCGACGTGGCCAAGCTGTTCTGACGTGCCGAGGCCGCCCTTCAGCAGCGAGTCGCCGTTCGAGTGGATGACGTCGACGAAGTGGGCGTCTGTGGCGTCCAGACGAGCCGAAGGCGAGTAGCCTTCGAACAGCGGCCCGGCCGGGTCCAGGCCTGGGGACAGGGTCCAGATCTGAGGACAGGGTCCAGACCTGGGGACAGGGTCCAGATCTGAGGACAGGGTCCAGATATGAGGGGCAGGGTCCAGATCTAGGGACAGGGTCCAGATCTGAGGACAGGGTCCAGATATGAGGGACAGGGTCCAGATCTGAGGACAGGGTCCAGACCTGGGGACAGGGTCCAGGCCTGGGGACAGGGTCCAGATCTGAGAGCAGCGTCCAGACCTGAGGACAGGGTCCAGATATGAGGGACAGGGTCCAGATCTGAGGGCAGCGTCCAGACTTGAGGACAGGGTCCAGATATGAGCGACAGGGTCCAGATCTGAGGGCAGGGTCCAGATCTGAGGGCGGACCCAGATATGAGGGACAGGGTCCAGACCGGGGACAGGGTCCAGATATCAGGGACAGGGTCCAGACCGGGGGACAGGGTCCAAACCTGAGGACAGGGTCCAGACCCGGGGGCGGGGTTCAGACGACACTCACAGTAAGCAGAAGAGAAGGCGGTTGCCCCCACTTCGACGTTTCGAAAATTTAGCATTTGCCCTGTAGAAGTTGACTGCAAAAGCAACCAAGATGGCTTTCGCACCCCCCCTCCCCCGAATTTTGGAGACCTTTCGGTGCCCTGGGACGATAGCTAAGTAATGGACGATAATCGCTGAGATGAGCTTGTGGGGGAGAGCCGTGTGTGGGGGGAGGGGGGGGGGGGGGAGCAATTTAAGAGCCACACTGCGAAGCTGGTATGCCCCGGAGGACTTCACTATGGACTGACATATAGCTTACCAGGGACAGGATATTCTAGTTATACCAAATCTTCGCTCGTTTGGCAACGCACTCAGATATGCCGTTGGACGCCCATCCTGGCTGAGGGAGACACACGGAGAGGTGATTGATGTCGATTACGGCTGGCTTCTGCCAAAGTCGGCATAACTGGACAAACAGCCGGCACGGACAACAAGCTAATCCGCGAGAATCAGTGAAAGGAAATCTCTTCGCTGTCCTGGAATTTTGTGAGAGCTGCATGGGTGTACAAATACACTCACGCCCCGGTCTCCCATAATCTGATTTGCCGGGAGTTAATATGAAGTAGTCACAGTCCTTTGCTGTCGGGACCGGCGGTGTTATACCACTGCATTCCTCTTCCCCTGCGGAAGGCAAGGGAGGTACGGCAAGTATGGTCGGGCATAGCCGTCAGCCAAGACACGGCGTTTCGTGATTCGTTACAGCTCCGCACATTCCTCGTGTTTCTTCCATAACACGGCTGTCAGGTCTCTGACCCATTTAAAGACGCGGGCCACTCGCAAACTCCAGTTCTCACGCTGTTTTCAGTTCTCATCCCGTTCCAGATTAAGATAGAACGTTCATTCATCAGCATTTCACTTCCGTTTTCTCCATTAGTGTTCTATGACGTCAATCAGTAAACCGCGAGCACTTCGTACGGTGAAATAAATTCACGCCTTCGCCTTTCCCACAGCATGCTATGTCATCTTCAGCATGCTCATAAGATGGTGAAAGCTTGAATGACGTTTCTGAGAGCAATTGCCGATTGATTACCATCCAATTATCAACCTCCGATACACAACTCAACGTGGTACTGTGCTGCTTATTCTACTCTCGCCACTGCTGCCTCAATGTCCCACGGCCATCTGCAATGTTCTCCGTATAAAACGTTCGGCGTACTCCTATCATTCACTCGAAATAATCTTGCCAAACCCCCTCTAATTCGTTTACGCGTTACCGCCATTCATCTGCAGCTCATCATGACCATAACCTCGCAATCTCTTTGTTGTAACCTTCACGTACCCTTACCGTTCCCTCCCATTTTATCACCCTCTTACGTCTCCCATCGTCCCCACGTGGATAGAGCGTATCCGCTCACGTTCCTTGACCACCCTCGCGAGCCCCCCACCTCTCACCCCACTTCATCCGCTTACCAGCATCCAGTATCCCATCCCTATACACCTACACTACAGCGCCCCATTCTCCTCATATCTTATGACATGATCCCACCTCTTCTCATGTCCATCACATCACCTCACTTCATATCATGCCCATCACATCACATATCAGCCTTGCACCCGCTCACATTCGCTCACATCTCATAACATCCTCCCATCTCCCATCTCGCCTTTCAACATTCTCCACACACCCGCGGCGCCCGTCACCGTCCCTCCAACCTCTAGCGGCCGTCATCGTCCTTCGACCTCCAACACTCGTCATCTCCATCCGAACTTCAGCGTCCGTATCCGTCACCCTGACTTGCAACGCCCGTCATCTTCCTCCTGGTCTCCAGTGTCCGTCACCGTTCCTCCGACCTCCAGCGCCCGTCGTCGTCCCTCTGGCCCCCAGCGCTCGTCACCGTCCCTCTGGCCCCCAGCGCCCGTCACCGTCCCTCTGACCTCCAGTGCCCGTCATCGTCCCTCCGACCTCCAGTGCCCGTCGTCGTCCCTCTGACCCCCCAGTGCCCGTCACCGTCCCTCTGACCTCCAGTGCCCGTCATCGTCCCTCCGACCTCCAGCGCTCATCACCGTCCTTCCGACTTCCAGCGCCCGTCGCCGTTACACGTCAGCGACGGTAACGCAGCGCGAGCGGCGAAAGCCGTCCGGCCGCCGTGACCCCGCCGTCCGCCCCGGGCGCCGTTTCGCCGGCTCGCGATGTTGTCGCAGGTCAAACGGCGCCGGCGCCTGAGTCAGCGGCGGCGCGCCCTCGCCGCACCGCGCCGAGAAAGCGCCGACGCGCCGGCGAGTCGGTGACCGGCGCGAGACGAGAGCATCCCGAAGACAGCGGCCGTCAGGCGCGGAGGCGTGGCGGCGCCGACGGCCCGGCCGGGCCGGCCTCCGGACAGGCTCGGGTCGGACGTGGGCGGGTGATGCGTGAGCTGGGAGCGGAGCAGGACCAGGAGAGTCGATGGACAACTCGCAGATGAGGGAAGATGAGGGTAATGGGGAAGAGAGGGCGGCATTGTCAGGGTGTAAACAAAACGAATGCAAATGAAGGATGAACTTGGTCAGTGACTGACTACTCGAGAAAAATGACGAATATATATATATATATATATATATATATATATATATATATATATATATATATATATTAGGCTTTCCTACTTAAGCCTAGCATACACAGCATTGTAATCATTACATATAAAAGGCTTTATCACTGTTCTAGAAGGCCTTTCGCTTATCCAAAAGAGCTTGAAAGACAACATTTACACCAATGGAAAGCTTCCCGTTTTCATTTGCCGCGATAGCCTAGGAACAGTTGTATCACAGCACGGCCCAAACGGGCTCCGATGTAACTACTCGGCTTTGTGCTGTATGCACCATGGTCCTCAATACTACCGAGAAGGCCTCGAGAAACCCGGCGGGAGGAGATCGTAGATAGCTGCGAGAGCCTGGACCAAGCGAGGCAGCTGGCCCCGGGCGAGACGTACAAGGTCCCCGTACGCCCCCATCACCGTTATTACTTTTCACTTTCGGTGAGGGCATTTACCGAAGATGCGAATGGCAGGGGTCTGGATTTCACTTTTACTTTTGTTCGTGTAACGAGCGTTCATGACCGTGCCCCGCGCCGTTCATTTTCTCGTCACGCCCACCGGCAGTCAGCCAGCGGAGATGAGCGAGCGAATGGTATGCGTTATGGCGGGTCGTTAAGGGAGTTGAAAATCCGATCAAGGTCATGAACGTAAAAGCATCATTTCTGGTGTTACACTCGGAATAATTCTAGTAGGTGTAGCTCGTGCAACACAAAGTTTTTATCTCACTGCAGTTGTTTTTGGGTGTAGAGTAATGATATGTTGGTATGCCCTTCTGTAACGTTTGTACATTTGGACGAATCCTAGAGCGGGCATGCAGAACATAAGCGTGGCAACTAAACCAACGATACCTTCTTGGAAACAAATTAAAAGACCCGTGACCACGACATAAACGCATGCAATGTCGAAATGGGATGGAAAAACTTCACTTCGCTAAGCGGCCCGCTTTGTAGGTATGGCTGAATCATCCTGAATCATTTGGCGCAGTTTTCAAGCACACGGATTCTCCGCCACGGCCGGCTTCGTGCGGTGTCTTAACACAATGTGACAATGAGGGGACCGGCCGCTCTGTCGCAATTCGAATCGTCATTCACTAAGCGGTGCCGCGACTGGGATGCCGGCAATAGGCGGCACTGCGGGTGGCGGCTCCGGTGTCCAGCTGAGGCCGGCAGAGAGAGAGGGAGAGAGAGAAAGAAAGAGAGAGAGAGAGAGGGAGAGAGAGAGGGAGAGAGAGAGGGTGAGAGAGAAAGGGATGGAGAGAAAGAGAGAGAGAGAGAGGGCGAGAGAGAGAGGGAGGGAGAGAAAGAGAGAGAGGAGGTGAGAGAAACAAGAGAGAGGAGGCTGCGCGGGGAGGAGAGGAGGAGAGAGGAGAGAGAGAAGAGAGAGAGGAGAGACGAGAGTAGAGAGAGAGAGAGAGAGAGAGAGAGAGAGAGAGAGAGAGAGAGAGAGCACACCGCGACGCGGCCACCGCGAGTGACATCTTTTGCCTGCTCGGTCACGGTACGTGAGGGTCGGCGACTCACTAGGTCACGGTACGTGAGGGCCGGCGACTCACTAGGTCACGGTACGTCGGGGTCGGCGGCTCACTAGGTCACGGTACGTCGGGATCGACAGATCACTAGGTCACGGTACGTCGGGGTCGGCGACTCGCTAGGTCACATTACGTCGGAGTCGGCGACTCCCTAGGTCGCAGTACGTCCGGATCGGCAGATCACTAGGTCATGGCACGGTGGGGTCGGCGGCTCGCTCAGTTCGGAGTCAGCTAGCGGCTGTCTGTTGGAGCTACGGCTGGCCCACCATTTGTAATCAGCGCCCGGTGGCCGGCGATATGCTGCCCAAATACCACGTGTGTCGACATGGCTGTCGCAAATCAGATATAGCCTATGCATGGTGAGAGGTAGGGTTGCCTCACGCCTAGGCAATGGTGATACATCCGACGAAGTTCTCTACCGGCAGCTGTTCTCTGTGGGCTGTAGAGCCAACGAGATTACACCATGAATCGCACGCCTCTGCTCATCGGCGCCCTATTGATGGCTGAGTTTGCTTCGGTCGCTGGCGTCACAGCCTCACAAGCCGGCCGCCGACGTGACGTCACAGCCTCAGCCGGCCACCGATGCGACGTCACAGCCTCACAAGCCGGCCGCCGATGCGACGTCACAGCCTCACAAGCCGGCCGCCAACGTGACGTTACGGCCTCACAAGCCGGCCGCCGACGTGACGTTACGGCCTCACAAGCCGGCCGCCGACGTGACGTCACAGCCTCACAAGCCGGCCGCCGATGCGACGTCACAGTCTCACAAGCCGGCCGCCGACGTGTCGTCACACCCTCACAAGCCGGCCACCGACGTGTCACACCCTCACAAGCCGGCCGCCGATGGGACGTCACAGTCTCACAAGCCGGCCGCCGACGTGACGTCACAGCCTCACAAGCCGGCCACCGACGTGACGTCACAGCATCACAAGCCGGCCGCCGATGCGATGTCAGAGTCTCACAAGCCGGCCGCCGATGCGATGTCACAGCCTCACAGGCCGGCCGCCGATGCGATGTCACAGCCTCACAAGCCGGCCGCCGCTGCGACACCACAGCCTCACAAGCCGGCCGCCGACGTGACGTCACAGCCTCACAAGCCGGCCGCCGATGCGACGCCACAGTCTCACAAGCCGGCCACCGACGTGTCGTCACACCCTCACAAGCCGGCCGCCGATGCGACGTCACAGTCTCACAAGCCGGCCGCCGACGTGACGTCACAGCCTCACAAGCCGGCCGCCGACGCGACGTCACAGCCTCACAAGCCGGGCGCCGACGTAACGTCACAGCCTCACAAGCCGGCCGCCGACGCGACGTCACAGCCTCACAAGCCGCCGCCGACGTGATGTCACAGCCTCACAAGCCGGTCGCCGACGTGACGTCACAGCCTCACAAGCCGGCCGCCGATGCGACGTCACAGCCTCACAAGCCGGCCGCCGACGTGACGTCGCAGCCTCACAGGCCGGCCGCCGACGTGACGTCACAGCCTCACAAGCCGGCCGCCGACGTGACGTCATAGCCTCACAAGCCGCCGCCGACGTGACGTCACAGCCTCACAAGCCGGCCGCCGACGTGACGTCACAGCCTCACAAGCCGGCCGCCGACGTGACCCCACAGTCTCACAAGCCGGCCGCCGACGTGACCTCACAGCCTCACTAGCCGGCCGCCGACGTGACGCCACTCGGCTGAGGTGAGGACAATCGACTCACGCCAGCAGGCATGACGGCCTCGTGCCCTCCAGGCTTTGCGGACACAATGTGCAAGCGTGTGTCCGTGCACTCAGTACACAGTTGCAGCACTGTACGCCTGTTGCATCACAAGTGTGTGGTTGCGTGGGTTATTCCCTGCATGCCCACGGACAACAGAAACTCCAACGGCTGGGAGCTAAAACAAGGTAGATACGAGCCCTTCCATGGTTTAACCGATGACGCGCCTGCACGCCGACGTACATGTTACCAAACTGCACGCTTTCACTTGTCTCCCGTGGAGATGTACGTTCATCACTTTCCTTGTGTTCGACGAATAACTTTGAGGTTTGAAATGTCTGTTAGGTAACGTTCTGAAGTGACAGAGGAGACCAAGGTGGTGCCCGAATGAAATGAGTCTTTGAAAATGTATTTCCTTGTTTATATTACGGGGTGTGTAAATCAGCAACTACGACATAGTGGTCAGTCGAATGACTGCACGTTCTCCAACTGCTGTGCACTGAATCGTTTCGCTCGTCTAGGGCCTGTTTGCAACTATTTCAAAAGCTTGCTGTTGCATGATACCTAAGAGCCATGGTGTCGAGATGACCAGTCCACCAGTCAGCTTGTTACACTGACGCCACCACGACCAATGGCCGTGGCGTCGTCATTCCGGTGAGGTGCGGGCCGGCAGACTGACGCCCCACAACGCAGCGGGCTCGTGGTGGGTTCCCAAATAAAACATGGTCATTCACCGGGCTCACCCAAAACGATTGTCTCTTGGGTATGGCGTGAGATGAAATTGTTATGACGTGACATGACATATGATCATGGGCGGGAGTGGGGATGATGCGGCGATAAGATTGTGACAAGTGCTGGTGGCGTCATCCCTTTTTCCAAACGCTTTAAAATTGACCGTGGGAGACTTGGACCTTGTGTCTAAGTGCTTCGCAAAAGCTATGTAATGAGCAGAACACAGCCCAGGCGTGGGAGAGCTATGGACACATTGATAGCACACATATGCAAGCCATGAAACACCTAGCAAACCAGCAGTCGCGGGTTTGCCAACCTCAGCTTTGGCAGCAAACAGCAGCCGCCATAATCCCCACATCAAGAACATGTTATGCAGCGCTGCTCCCTGATGTGTTGCACACATACTGCGGCCTGCAATCCCCAACATCAGCTCCATTGCGATGACCAGTTCGTTCGGGCTCTTGCGGGCTTCGGACTAAAAAATCTGAGCCCCACTCCGGCTGAGGGATGCGCGGGAAACTCGAATTCAAACTGACCTCTTATTCTCATTTAAGCTTCAGCAATTGCTGTGGGTTACTTGTTAATAGGAAAAAGCGTGTGATAAAAGGGATGGCTCGGCAAAAAGAAAAATTGTGTTGCATAGATATTAGCTGTGTTGGGATGGGTGCGTCTTGTTTGCTTCAACTGGTGTCGGTTTGGGTCGGCTGAGGTTGTATCTCAATATATATATATATATATATATATATATATATATATATATATATATATATATATATATATGTGCAGACAATCGACGATTTTGTGCTAACAAGCTTCTCTATGCATTGTTTGAGATAACGGACTTCCGTATTTGCAGTGTCGTTAAGCTGAAAAACTAAAATATATCATGTATCCGTGTATGTCTAAGCTTTACCAACGTTAAACACTAAGAATCTAACTTAAGAATCTTAACCCCTGCAATTACATTTTTGCTTCCAGTGCTGAATCGGGAGGATGCCAGGGAAGGTTAGGATAACGCACGTCACACCAAGCTTGGCTGGTTTACACCAGATACTCGTGTTTTGTTTGTTTACTCCGGCCCCATGATGCCCATACACAAACAGCGTACGACATACACGCGCGCACGATACGACAATGTCGTATCGCGCGTGCCCGAGTCCTGGTTTCATCAGATGGGAATCAAGGGTTTACTAGCGCCCACCGCCAATGTGTTTTACACCCATCGTAATGACACGTTTAACTGCACCACATAAAAGTGGCCAATTTAATCAATCAAAAGCATGGTAGGAGCCGAGCAGCGTGGTCGGTTCACGTGGGCGGGCGTACCTGTGATGCGACTGATGTTGCCTCCGAGTTCCTGGCCAGCGAATCCAGAGACGTGGGCGCCCAGTGAGAACCCAATCAGGTGCATGTTGTCCAGCGAGGCGCCGAACCTGCGGTGCGGCGAGATGGTCGGTCACTCTCACTGATGCAGCTCAAGCCTGGTCTACAAGAGACAGCTAGATTTACATCGTATGAAACAGGCCACACCAGTTAACTTCGTGTTTTGTGAGTGACGGGCTTTCGTTCGTCAAAGCTAAGTTTTTCGAAGCATCTTGCAACATGTGCTAGATTCCTGATAAATGGAGCTGAGTGGATCCAGGCCAGTGGTGATGAGTTTATACGCATTGTGAGCCCGTGGGTGTGATGCATATTGTCGCATTGTATTGCATCACATTACATTGCATTGTATTACATTGCATTCGATTAGATTGATACATATTGCATTGCATTCTATAAGGTCGGATTACATTGCATGACATTGCATGGTGCATTGCATTGCATCATCAGAGGAAATTGCAAAACGTGGCTGTGAGAGCGAGCCGAGCCACGCTCACCACGCCTGTAGCCGGCCTGGCCTGGCGTGCGCTCGTCCGTGTCACTCAGTGCACCACCTGGCTGCCACGTCACGAGCGTGCAAAACGGCGGCGTGAGCGGGATTCATCCGTCGGGCGACGACCGCCGAATTTCACAGGCCCAAATCCCACCGGCCGGAGCGGGCGGGTACGACCGGCGGAGAGCTGGCGGGCACGACCGGCGGAGAGCGAGCGGGCACGACCGGCGAAGAGCAGGCGGGCACGACCGGCGGAGAGCTAGCGGGCACGACTGGCGAAGAGCTGGCGGGCACGACCGGCGGAGAGCGGGCGGGCACGACTGACGGAAAGCGGGCGGGCACGACCGGCGGAGAGCTGGCGGGCACGACCGGCGGAGAGCTGGCGGGCACGACCGGCGGAGAGCTGGCAGGCACGACCGGCGGAGAGCTGGCGGGCACGACCGGCGGAGGGCTGGCGGGCACGACCGGCTGAGAGCTCGCGGGCACGGCTGGCGGTATCGGAAAGATCACGCGACGCCAGAGGGTTAAGGACCACGCGAAGACGGCGGGTTGAAGGGTCATGCGACGACGGAGGGTCGAAGGGTCTCGCGACGATGGAGGGTCAAGGGCTACGTGACGGCAGAGGGTGGCAGGGCCAAGCGATGACGGAAGGTTGAGGGGCCACGCAACGACGGAGGTTCGTCCGGTTGGTGGGCGGTAAAGGTAGAGACCGTCTGAGGAGGTCAGGCACTGCTGCCAGGCGGGACAGGTCACGCAGTTTGGATCGACGAAGGGTGGATTGCGCTGGAACTGGGGGATGAGGAAGCCAAGGCGTTGCGGACGGGTGGCTGTGAAAATATCCCGGAAACGGCTCAAATCGAAAACAAGTGTCGGCGGTGAGCGGAAAGGTGAAACACTGGTGGCGGGTGAGGAGTAACTAATGATCTCGATGACGGATGAGAAATGTAACTCACGGAGCACAGCCCGGAAGCGAGAGGACGAAGTGACGCTGTTCCCGAGTCACAATGTGAGCTGACGCCGGCCGAGCGCGGAGGTTAGGGTGACTGAGGCGGCTTTACCTGACCCTGCGAAGTGAGCTGGCACTGTCGAGAGATAGCGACGACACGGCACTGGCGCTGGGCGGCCGCGCATCCCGTCAGCGCCGGCGCCACTCTACCTCCTGACCTCTGATCTGACCTGACCTCCTGTCTGACCTCCTCACCTGTTCACCAGCTGTTTGATGAGGATGGCCACCTGGCGGCCAACCAGGCGCGTGTTGACCGCCGCGCGCATGTAGTTGGGCGTGGCCGCGCCCCGGTCCCAGTGGACGCAGATGACGTTACAGTCCAGCTGGAGAGGAGACGGAGCTGGTCACGCGGATGACTTCGAGTTCCTAATGCTCGGTGAGGCGTAGGCGCACGCACATGCCGGATCTCGAACCCGTCATGTCTGATTAGCGTAAACCGCGAGAGGCATTCCGCACTCGAAAGGCGTCAATGTGTCGGAAAGGAAGACATTCCACCTACGCTGTATTGTTATCGCTGAATGTGTCGAATCATCTGTTTTATTATGCTGCCCCTTCCTCGATTATGATACATTGTCATGGTTTTAACCGGGTGACACACTGTGGCAGCGATCGGTTGTGGTGTTCTCACGCAAGACGATTCAATTTCGTGAAAAGTGTTCTTGCTTGGTTTTCAGCTGGAGGCCCGGAGGCCAAGACCTTAGGTAAAATAACAGGGCCCCGCCTGACTGCACAGATTACACCTCTGGCTGGAATAAGCTTCCATGTGCCCCTTCACAACTCCGACCTTCTACCCCTCATACCGGTAGAACCCCCTCGACGACGATGATGGTGTGAATAACGGCGGCGATTACGAAAAACGATCTGCGGCCGCACCGCTCGCTCGTGTAACCCCGTACCGTCTCCGTGGCCGGGCCGGACTGGGATTCCAGCTCCTTTGCGTAAGCGGCGTGGTCAAGAGTAGCCCGGGCCGCCATCCATCGGCAGCGGTGTGCTCGGGCGCCTCACGCAACTCGGGCCGTTGCCACACCCTCGCGCGGACGGCGTGACGGGGTCGCGCGGCGTGACGGCCGGCGGTGTGGTAACGCCAGCGTACGCAGCGTGCGCCTCACAGTTAGGCGCCGTCGCTGGGCGTTGGGTCGACGCCTAGCGGGGACGCCGCTACCAAGGCTGGTGTCGCGTGGTGACTTAAGACAAGGGCGAATGACCGTAGTACTATGCCAATGGCCGCTGCATTCCCGCTGGCGACCATAGGTCACATCGAGGTCGAATCGAACCGAATCGGTTCCGCGGAGATGGTTTGAGGTCTGCCGACCAAACAAAACCAGTTCCGAAGCACAGACAGGCAGACAAAAGCTCCCCTCAGCATCAATCCGTGACAAAAGTCGTAAAGCAGGTGCGCGACCGCCAGTGCCGACGCTTTCTACAAAGAGGCTGGCCGGGCGGTCCTGGACGCTGTTGAGAGCACCAGTACAATAGAGGCAGCAGCCTGTGCCAGCTGAGGGTACCTGGCGGCTTCCGCAGCGCCAGAAAACAAGGTCACAGCCGTGGTCGGCAGCGGCACGGTCCACTTGTCTGCCGAGCCCGGCGGCAAGATGACCGCCGGTGGCTTTGACGCAACGAGTTCGCCGGCCGCCTCCTGGCCTCTCGGGCGGCGACTGCGGCTAACGGCCGCGCCGCCCTCCTTGTGAAACCCAGCATGGTGGCGAAACTAGGTGTCTTCGCGCCCGACCTTGGTGGGTCAGCGTGGTGGCGGCGAGGCGGCGCCGACGACGTCGCGGTGGCCGTGCGCGGCGGCTCGCCACGCGCGACGACCGGGGTCGGCTCCGCACGGTCGCCCGTCGGTGCCGATCAGGCCCGCCGTCGGCGTCGGCAGGGGCGCGTCCGGCGCAGCCCGGCGGTGGGGCCCGGTGGTGGCGGCGCGGCCGGCGCCTGCCTCGCCAGGCACCTGGGGCCGCCGTTCCGGGCGCGTCGCGCGCGATCGCAGCCGGCCCGGTTCTCACCGTGGGCGGCGCGGCGCGGCTGTCCGTGACCGCACCCATTGTCGGTGTGCCGCCGCCCGGTGCCGGGTGAGGGGCGGGGTGACGGGGTGCCGGCTGGACCGCGCCGCGCCAGTCACCCGCCCCGCGCCGCTGGTGCCACGCCGTGTCGACGGCGAGGGTCTCTCGCAGGACATGTTCACTCCTCATCTGAGCTGTCCTGTACCAGATGAATGTACCAAATGAATCATCTGGACTGCGTCCGAGGCATTATCTAACCTGACCTGAATTGGCACGAGACGGCTGCGCGCCACCTTCCGGAGCGGCTGCCTGCCTGGCGTGGCTCGGGATTTTCAGTCCGTGCCTGCACCGACCTGTGCCATACAGGCTAACTATTTGTAGCGCAGCATTTCACCAAAACAATGGCCGTCGTTTCAGCCAGCCGCCGCCCAAGACACAACCTGTGCCAGCAAGTGGCACAGAGCCGGTTAGCAGCAGGTCTGCGAACATGAAGCTAGCCGCTCCAATAAACCTCAGCACGATACACTCGTTCGGAGCTCCGACACGGTGCGGCCGTGTGCCGCCGGCGTTCCGCTGAGACGGCTAAATCTGACGAGAGAGAAAGATCGAGGTGTTGTTGAGCTGGTCGCGGTCCAGTTCGTTGACCTGGACTTCGTTGTGTCTTCGGAGGCGTGTACACACTGCAGGCGCAGAAGGTCTGGCCCACATCGTACCACACCCAGAGCTACGAGTCAGTCTGCGTGGCCAATGATGGTGCCGAAGCGCATCTGCCCCGAGCCCTGGTTCTCACGAGGACTATAATTGCCTTAATGTGGCACATCTTGCGTCTAGAGTGCCTTCTTCCAGTCGACAGACGGTATGCCCGAACGTCGCGCCACCGGTAATTAAAGCGGCGCTATCTTTGCGCGGCGCCACTCGCAGGAAACGAGTTTACCACTCCGACTGAAACCGCGGCGTGCCGCCCGCCTGTCAGACCCTGCTTTTCGCCTGGCTGCGTCCGTCACTACTAACCCCTGGCCACGTGATGGCCCGAGGCACCGAGGTCAGCGATGACGAGTGAGGCCGGTTGGCGAAAATAAGTTTGGTCACGCGGCACCTGGTGTGTGCTTGTGCCCGCTCGCGGACGGCCGCGACGTCACCTCAGGTCGGTGTGCACGCGACAACATCGTAGCGGAGTACGGCCATCACTGCTGAACGTCGGACATTGTAGCCGACCGGCCGGATTGGCAGCCCCCATCGGCCGGCCGCGCCCATCTGCAGGGCGCCACCCCGACCCGTCTGGCCGGCGTCACGGCTGGCGACCGGCCGCTGCCGCCGCCGCCGGCTGGAAAGTCGCGCGGGCGCGTCCTTGCCGGGGGCAGCGACCCGCAGCCACCCCGCTCGCGCTCGGCATCCCCAGCGCTGGCGGAACCCGGCCACCGGTGGTCGAGGTGCACCGGTGGGAGGCAGCGAGGCGCGCCGGTGGCAGGCACCGGAAAGCAGGTGGTGCCGTGCTGCCGGTATTACATGACAGCAGTATTGTGCCGCGCAGTAGTATTGCGCAGAGTGACAGCAGTATTGTGTAGTATTTTGATGGTAGTGTGGTGCGGTGTGGCGCTGTGCCCCGCTTACTGCTGTGTTTCTTGGCGGTGTCTCAGGGCGGTGCTGAGCCGCGCGAGAAACTGACGACACTGCACAAATCCTCCATACTCGCCTCCATACCGACTTAGCAACTTTCCTCACCCCGTTTGCCGATGCCAGGTGGTATTTGTCAACCGAGAGCAAAACGAATGCCCATTTTTGCGGCGTGTTTGCCCATGGTGCACGAGTGAAACGCAATGTGAGTGCACTACACATGTCTTCAGCCGTCCCATTTTGGTAACCAGAAAGCGCGCTATCCTCAGCAGATACAGAACCATTCAGTCCTGAACAAATCACCCCAAGTGGCCACTATTCTGCGCGTGATCCAGCGCGCACTGACCGTGGTCAGCAGTGCCTGCCGCATCTCGTGGGCCCAGACGCGGTTGCAGCTGCTGCCGAAGCCGTGGATGATGATCTTGGTGGGAAGCGAGCCGTTGAAGGCGCTGATGTCCAGCTTGCCTGACTTGTAGGTGGCCGTCTGCGCTAGGTCCGGGCTCTTGCGGCCGTACAGCATGAACGTAGTGCCGATCTGCGGAGGAGCACCGGTTCCGTGTGGAGATCTCATTGATGCCACAGACTGCGGGGTCGGTGCGTTATAGCATGGCTAGTCTATTGCGTCACTGATGGACGAGAAGCCGGTTCAAGGACTACTCTAAATGCCATAGCTTGAGACGTGACAAAATGTGTGGTTCTGTCTAGAGCTCCACGTTACAAGCCGTTTTGCAAGAGCACGTTAGCCAGCTGGGAGCTCATCAACGCGGAACCACGCGCGCAGGCCGCGGCCGCCGGGCTGTGAGGCGCTCGGCATCCGAGCGGTGGATACCTCTTCCGGAGGCGACGGCAGCATGTCCAGGTAGTCGAACGGTCCGCTGTCACGGAAGCAGCCCAGTTCCTTGTAGCAGACCACTTCTTCATCACGTTTCCAGCGTCTGCAATGGTACGGCCAATCCAACGGTTATCAAAAGGGAAGGAACGGAAAACCTAACATGGCGTATACGGCTGCGAGGGTCAGCACTGTTCATGCAGCGTTTCGCAAGGCGCGTCTCACTCGTTCCATGCGTCCGCACCTCCTGCTCCGCCCCCCCCCCCCCCCCTTCTGGCCGATGTCCCATTAGCAACTGTTTCCCCTATTCCCCTATTTTCCCCTATTCCCCCTTGACAGAATGGGGTATCATGTCACATGGACAGCTTAAATGCCTTCTGCTCTTCATTGTTCCGAGCTCGTGACAATAACCGGTATGCCCACGCACTAACATATCTCAATCCTAACCACACGCGTAAATCATAACTGTGAACTGCATCTGTAAAATCTAACGGCACGTGACTTTAAAAAGTATTACTCAAAAAGGTGGATGCCCCAGGATCAAACCAGTTTTACAAGGGCGGAGCTTGGTACAAACCTAGTGTTTGGCTACCCACGAGCACAGCGGTGGAGCGTAATGAAACGCCGAATTTAGTTTGTAGTTAATTGTCTCAGAGACCAGATTTATTTTAGTAATAAGAAGCGCGTCCAGGCAGCACTATACATTGTGATCAGGTCAGTCAGATGACGCGGCATCTGTTTACCAATCAACCACGCAGGATCGGACTCTGTTCAGATCACGTGGTGGGAGGGGCAGCGACCGATCTCCACGCAGCTCCATGAGTGACTCTCAGCAGGGTCCACAACTATGTGCAGGGTGCAGCTTCACCGGCGGCTGGTGTTCAGCTGACGCGGCTGTTGCACCAAACACTCCAGCGGCAACGTTTAGCCGACGTGGCCGTTGTGCCAGCCGTGCCGCAATCCGTGCTGGGAAGTCGAACAACATCACAAGCACTCGCCTCTGCAGGCAAATCAGCCGCACGCCGTCGTACAGCAGCGAGCGTGCTACTGCATAACAATGAGCGGGCCCGTGCTTCTCCTGCCTCTCGGGGATTAGCGTACGTGACTGAAGTCTGCTGCTTCTTGTTATGCCCACCCATGGAGAAGTCACGGACAGGCGCATGGTGTGCCTTGAGCGCCTCGCTTTGATCTCGCGTGCCAACGGGCCGGTGCCCCGTGGTAACTAGATGGAACTGAATTATCTCCACGTGCAATGTTACAGGGCTCATTCGAGTGGAAAGATTTATTTAGCAGAAATCAAGCTTCCTTCGGAGACCAGAGGCGAGTCAAAAGGCTCTCCAAAACGCTCTGTCATTCTCTGAACAGGTGCTGCGCTGCACAACGAACACCAATCGCCTATTCCATGCGCCTGTGAACACATCACACCGGTCCAGTTTACCTTTCTCTTGAACTGAATGAATTATGCCCAGTCTTTGTTTCCGTTGCAATCCAAACTGCAAATGATGTTATTGTTTTCGTGCCTTTTTAACGCAGATGCACTCTTTTCGACAATGGATAGCGTGTGAAAGTGCGAAATCATCCAGCAAAGCAGAAGTTTATCCCAATGGGACTGACAAAGGACGACAAAGCCGGAAACAGTGTGCCCGGCCCGTAACCACCGGCACCGCCCACCAAAGCCAAAAGCTCGGTGCCGACGATTAAACGCATATGTGTATATATACATATATATAGCCATATATATAGCCATATATATATATATATATATATATATATATATATATATATATCCATATATATATATATATATATATATATATATATATATACCCCTTTAATAACTGCACGATCACGACGAAGATTTCACTGAAGAAAAGAGGACTGATCTCTGCATCCAAGTGCGTAGTATTCAACCGGCCAACTGCGCGCGTTTACGCTGTTTTCCGCCAGCAGTGGCACTAAGTTGTCGGCAATCTTTTCACTAGAAAGTTTGTGAGTCGGCTATTGAAGCAATTTGCATGCGCGTTCGGCCCCTGCACTAACACCGCACGATAAAGCCATACGAACCGGCGCTAGTTAACACAACTGGCGTGACCATGGCGACCGACTCCGATGCCGCCCATTTCGCAAACGTGCGGATCGTGCGGCGCGAACGTTCGTCACGTTCTCACTGGCCAGCGCCGTTTCCGCCCGGCCCCGTCACGAGAAGCCGGCCCGTGGTGACACGGATTGGGCGGCGGCGCCGGTGCCGACGGGGCGGCGGTGGGCGCGGCGCGAGGCTCGTGCGGCGGGCCGTCGAAGTCGCGCTCGCCGACCACCGCTGAGGCCTGGCACACCGCCGAGACTCAGCGCACAGCGAGACTCAGTCCCGGACCCTGCACGTCCTGTCGAGCCGGAGACCGAGCCAGCACGGGTCCCGGACCCTGCACGTCCTGTCGAGCCGGAGACCGAGCCAGCCGAGGAGTTGGCCTCCGCGCTAGCGCCGGCTGCGTGGGAGGGCTGACGGCTTGCGGTCGTGTCATTGGGCTTTACGGTACACTCCGCTACTGAGGCTACATGGCGTTCGCACGCCTCCTTGTCAGCGTAATCGTCTTATTGTCAGCGTCGCCGGTGCGGCCCCCCTCCTCCACTGGTTGCGCGACACCTGGGGCGTAGCCGTGCCTCCGGTGTCGCCCCCCCCCCCCCCTCGCCTACGCTCACGGGCGATAATAGCAATTATATGCATATGACTCCGTTGAACAAGTACGTTGACGGATTGTATCAAGTATGCAGCAGAAATGGCTAGCTGGCAAGGCTTGATGGCCATTATCTGGTCATGAACCTGTAATGTTGCACCATAATCGTCCCATCTCGTTTTGCACCATTTGACGGTTCCAGACCGTAATTGTCTCCCTCCTGTTTCGTTCCGCCAGGACGACATTGCTTACAGCACAATGGCACCTGCCTCTGACCTGCCCCACCTGATTCAACGGGTGCATGACGGCATCATGAATGTTTCAACGACCATTAGTTTTCCAAGAAATAACTCCAATGAGTCAGCTCACAGTCTCTGGCCGCGGAACAATTTAACGTGACCTCACCAGCTCACCAGCGTCATGGCGACAAGCACAGCCCCACCGGGTTCGGTGGGACCCGGACGCAGGTGAATTTGGACAGATCGTGATTTTTCCAATTTTTACGATATAAAATGACCCGAAATCGTATTGGACTCCTATAACTTGTCAAGCATCATTTTACGCCCGAACATAATTTTTCTGCCTCACAGTCTTTTGGCGCTTGGTATAAAAACATGCCAGTGACTATCAGATACCTGTAATCGCCAGATGGCCACATAGCAGCGTTTCAAGCCAGCTTTTATGCATTGAGGAAGTCAAGTTTAAAGGCGTGCACACCACATATGGGCGTAAGTGTTTCGTCATTTATGTCTGGCGCATCTGGGCATCTAGTTTAAACGGCTACGGTTGAGCGAATGTTAGGTATCTCACAAGTTAGCACCGCAGTGCTTCCACGTGGCTTGGAGACAGCGAGAAGCGTCAGCCGGGTAGTTGGCGTGCGTCATCAAAGTGAAAGAGATGTTGCGGGGAAATCTAGCTGGCAGTAAAGCTCAGCTAAGCCCATGTGTATCAAAACAAACAGGAGTAGAAAGGACCCGTGCAGAGGTCATTGCGCTTGTCATTGGGGGCTCTGTGACGCAGTCAGCTGCTGAGGCTGAATGGCGTCGCCTGCTGCTCGCCTTGGCAGGAAGGGCGGCCACCGCGGGGAATCGAAGCCCGCACCTCTGGTTTCCCAGACGCCAAAACGAGCGAGGCGCTTCAGCGGCCGTGAGGCCATTGTATGAGGAGATGGCGGTCAAACAGCGACGGCGGTGTGCGGCGAGGACTGTCTAAGCGCCGCGCCGGAGGGCCGCGCATCCGGACCGGGATGGTGAGGACTGTCTGAGCGCCGCGCCAGAGAATCGCGCACCCGCGCCGGGACGGCGGTGTGCGGTGAGGACTGTCTGAGCGCCGCGCCGGAGAGCCGCGCATCCGGACCGGGATGGTGAGGACTGTCTGGGCGTCGCCGGACCGGGATGGTGAGGACTGTCTGAGCGTCGCGCCGGAGAGCCGCGCATCCGGACCGGGATGGTGAGGACTGTCTGAGCGTCGCCGGACCGGGATGCTGAGGACTGTCTGAGCGTCGCGCCGGAGAGCCGCGCACCCGGACCGGGATGGTGAGGACTGTCTGAGCGTCGCCGGACCGAGATGGCGAGGACTGTCTAAGCGCCGCGCCAGAGAACCGCACACCCGCGCCGGGACGGCGGTGTGCGGCGAGGACTGTCTAAGCGCCGCGCCGGAGAGCCACGCCGGAGAGCCACGCCGGAGAACCACACCGGAGAGCCGCGCATCCGCGCCGGGACGGCGATGGCGAGCGAAGGGATGGGGCGGGACCGAGCACGGCGGAGTCTTCCACACTCACCGGCGGTGTTTGTGAGTGCCGCGTCGTAGGGCGTAGTCCCGCATGGTGCTCATCACGCTGCGGAAGATCTCGGCGTCATTGCTCTCGTCGTACGCCTCCAGGCCGGGGTGGGAGAACAGCCGGAACTCCCCGGCGTGCGTGGACGACGGCGAGGGCGAGAAGGGGCGACTCGAGAACAGCGAGCCCTGCACGCCGACCGGACTAGTGAAGCAGACACCTGCCGAATGCAGAGGGCGCGCGTCAGAGCGCAGAGGCGGCACAGTAAACGGAAATTTGTCGGCCGAGCGCCAGAGAGAGAGAGAGAGAGAGAGAGGGAGAGAGAGAGAGAGAGAGAGAGAGAGAGAGAGAGAGAGGGAGAGAGAGGGAGAGAGAGAGTGAGGGAGAGAGAGAGAGAGGGGAGGGACAACACATCGGAGTACAGCAACAGGGCTAGTCAAACAAAAGCCTGGTGTGGAGAGAGATAGAGATAGAGAGATAAAGAGACAGGGAGAGAGAGCGAGAGAGAGAGAGAGAGAGAGAGAGAGAGAGAGAGAGAGAGAGAGAGAGAGAGAGAGAGAGAGAGAGAGAGAGAGAGAGGGATAGGGGGGGGGGGGGGGGTATGCGAAAACATAGCGACCGAACAATAGTTTATTTCCAACACTGGACAATAGACGGATTGTTCTGTGCCCTACTGACGTGACACGATGGTGTGATGCAGTTCCCCGCCCCGTCGGCCTGTTTGTTCCCCATTGCACTGTCCGGCCAGTCTTCACGCACTGCCAGTCCCGCAGCGGCATCGGACAGCGTTACAAGCGTCCGCACTTAGGCTGCTCATGAGCGAGAGCAGGTCTCCTGGTGGGAAGCCCCGGCCAGACCACACCGAGGCAATACGGTGCCAGCCGACGGTGGACGGCTCCGCCCGTGCGTTTACTGCCGTGTTTTCCAGAGCTTACTTTCGACGTCACATGCGCGTTGCGCAGCGGAAGCGATATCCAGCGTGGCGTAACTCTCTGGGAAATGGTGCTGCATTAGCACGTTCTCCCCTCAGAGCACGCCCACGCCTGGTGATAATACGCTGTCATCTGACACTAATGGTATTATACTGATAGCATGAGATCAGCGTTCTGAGTAACGGCGAAACACGCGGGTGGCCTTCGTAGGGCAAGCAGTCCCAGGGCTCGGGTCAGCGGTGCTGCACCGGCGGCGGCCGGGTGCCACGGCTCCGGCGGCTGCATCGCCTGATCTAGCGACGGGGTTTCCAGAGACGTCGCTGGGTGTCGCGACAGCACGCAGACATTTGAACAAAGCTAAGCAGGCTTATTACCAGCACGGGGTGTCAATTTCTGCTCTTCTTTAGGGCTAAGATTGGTTTGATGCTAGAACGTAGGCTTAGGCTAAGAATATCTGGTACTGGAAAGCCACAACCGAGCATAATTTTCGCTTTCACACCAAACCCGTCTCTCGGGGAAATTTTTTCCTGGTCATAATTGCTACGCTGCATGAATAGCAGACTTAGTGATGCACAATACAATTTTAAAAACTAAACATTAGCAGCTGTCAAAATAACGTATGCCAAGCCCGTTCAGAAAAAAAAGATGCGGGACGCTAACAATGTCGGGCCCTGCCCTCCCCAATATGATTTAAATACACCAAACCATCTGTAGGCAGTTGTGGACGGGATTACCAAGAAACGGTTCTGCCGCCAGCTTTCAGCGTTCAGGTCGTAACACATCCGTACTGTTGTGTGTGGGGGGGGGGAGGGGGGAGGGGTCTGTGTGTGTGTATGCATAATTCGTGCTGAAGAATCCTGGGGAGATGCACACACTCACACCCATGGAGTGTCAAAACGTCGAGGTGGACCACATACTCACCCAAGGAGCGTCAAAACGTCGAGATGGCCCACACAACTACACCCACGGGCCGTGAGGTGGTCCACACACTCACACCCACGCTACCACCGCAGCGTTCCGCTGACTGTCCGAGTATGCCATCATAGTGTGACGTCATCCCTTGAACGCCGCCGCCGGCGGAGGGTGAAACCTTGGCGTGGAGCGAGCGAGCGAGCTCGGCTTTCGGCAGGCCGCTCCGGCAATGTCATGACCGGCGCGGGGGCTGGTTTCTCTGCCCGATGCCCCTGACGCTTACGCGCCACTCATGGATTTCACCAGACCGGTTGGGGCCGGGGGGAGGGGTCAAGCTGCTCCACGCCTGGCACGGGCGTGCTCGTCGGCCGCCGATGTCGCCAGGGCGCGCGCGCGGTGTCTCCATCTCCGATTCCGGCCGTTTGAGCGGCCTGTCCCCGCACGGCCGCGCCAGCGCCGCAGGACCCAGACCGATGGGCCTGCAGAACTGAATTAGGTTAGCCTCCTCCCGTGTTGACGCAGTGCGTGGCGGCAGGTGTGAGATCGAGTGGGGTGTTTGTGTCCGCGATCCAATCTGGCGCGTGAAATGCTGTCGTGAAAGGACAGGTGTGCGCGAGCCATGCAAGACGCATTTCGGTAAATATGGTTTGTGGGACACAACAGTGCCAGAGGTGCTCTAGTTAATGGACGCATTTTGGGAGCAAAGGGGAGGAGGATTTGAAAAGTGTCACGTGTGAGAGAGAGAGAGAGAGAGAGAGAGAGAGAGAGAGAGAGAGAGAGAGAGAGAGAGAGAGAGAGAGAGAGAGAGAGAGAGAGAGAGAGAGAGAGAGAGAGAGAGAGAGAGAGAGAGAGAGAGGAGAGAGAGAGAGAGAGAGAGAGAGAGAGAGAGAGAGAGAGAGAGAGAGAGAGAGAGAGAGAGAGAGAGAGAGAGAGAGAGAGAGAGAGAGAGGAGAGAGAGAGAGAGAGAAGAGAAGAGAGAGAGAGAGAGAGAGAGAGAGAGAGAGAGAGCGAGAGAGAGAGAGAGAGAGAGAGAGAGAGAGAGAGAGAGAGAGAGAGAGAGAGAGAGAGAGAAGAGAGAAGAGAGAGAGAGAGAGAGAGAGAGAGAGAGAGAGAGAAGAGAGAGAGAGAGAAGAGAGAGAGAGAGAGAGAGAGAGAGAGAGAGAGAGAGAGAGAGAGAGAGAGAGGAGAGAGAGAGAGAGAGAGAGAGAGAGAGAGAGATAGAGAGAAGAGAGAGAGAGAGAGAGAAGAGATGAGAGAGAGAGAGAGAGAGAGAGAGAGAGAGAGGAGAGAGAGAGAGGAGAGAGAGAGAGAGAGAGAAGAGAGAGAGAGAGAGAGAGAGAGAGAGAGAGAGAGAGGAGAGTGGAGAGGAGGGAGATAGAGAAAGAAAAAGCAGAATATAAGTTTTGGAGAAAAGAGGAAGGGAGGGAGGGGCTGATCGAGAGGAGGTGGAAAGACGCATTGCTAGAGCATAGTCGCAGAGTGATCAACCGGTCCCCTCCTTGCCGTGCGCTGCCCTGTCACTCTGCTCCAGACAGACAGGCAGACGGTTTTTTGTCGGCAGGCAAAACCAGCGGCCACCAATCGACCACTGACGGCTGGCATGCTAGGCGTTTTTACCGCCGCTGACGGCTCGTGAATGGGCAGGCGGCGGGCAGCGGACACGTCCATCTGTGTCGGCGGCGGGCGGCAGGCGGTGGGAGGCGGGCGGCGGGCAAATCCATCTGCGTCGGCGGCGGGCAGCGGGCACGTCCATATGTGTCGGCGGCGGTAGCGGGCAGTAGGCAAGTCCATCTGTGTCGCCGGGGGACAGCGGACACGTCCATCTGTGTCGGCAGCGGGCGACGGGGGGCGGGCGGCGGGCGGCGGGCAAATCCGTCCGTGTCGGCGGCCGACAGCGGGCACGTCCATATGTGTCGGCGGCGGTAGCGAGCAGTGGGCAAGTCCATCTGTGTCGCCGGGGGACGGCGGACACATCCATCCGTGTCGGTGACGGGCGGCGGACGGCTGGCACGTCCACCTGTGTCAGCGGCGAACGGCGGGCACGTCCATCTGTGTCGGCGCCGGGCAGCGGGCAGCGAACACGTCCGTCTCTGTCGGCGGCGGATGGAAGGGTCTTCACCTCACTGGACGGCTGCCAGCTCACGAACCTCTCAGCTCGGCGGCCGTCCCGTCCTCTATAGACTCTCTGCAGCTGCTCAAGATATCGCTGCTCACCGTGCTGGCGCACCTGCTAGCGGTGGAGATAACCTGAAGTCTCATGGTTTGCTCGCATCCGCAGCTGATTTAAAAAACAAACTCAGGTTTCTCGAACATTATTCAGACCAGTGACACACCTGGTTTCAGACAGCGACATTTCTCCTATAACGTATATCATTTTAAGACAGTTGCACTAACGACTATTTTATTAGAAGTCGCTTCAAATAGCGCGCTGTCATCTAATTATGAGTTGCGAGCTCGGACAAGACATCCAGTCGGGGTGGAAGTCTCAGGGCGAAATAGAGAAAGGAGTGGGAGAAACTGAGATGGTATCATGCCCTGGCAGCTTGTGCCCGTCAGCACAATCGCGCACATCTCCTCGCAAAGAAACGGCGCGGTTCGAGCCCGCTGCTCGCCTCTCAACTCCGCGTGGCCTGTACGTATTCCTTGCCGTTGCTGGTGGCGCCACGCTGACCAAGTGCGCGCTCTCTGGCTGGGTGGGCACGCGCAGGACATCGGCGCATTTTGAGACCGGGTCAATCGTCACACTGCGTTCTCAGCCGCCCGGCAATGCCGCGGACAAATGTCTGTTGCGACGTACGTGCGCCGAACCGTGCGATCTGATGGCACGCGGAGACCCCGCAATGGTGCGTGAAGCGGGCATTTTCATTGGACCGTTTGCATGGGGCACACCGCGGCCCCGCGCCGCAGCCCCGCGCCGCGCCACCGGGCGGCACCGCATCGTCCAATGAAACAACCCCAAATGCCGCTTCAACTGTGGGAGCTGTGGCCACCACTACGCTGATATGTGCCCAACGGTGCGGGTCTTGACCCGGGGCTCGGCCGCGGTCGACCATAACTGGGTCGGGCCTGGCTGCACGGCTAGCTCGTCAACACCAGGTCACGACAAGGTCACGACAAATGGGACGCTCAAACAGAACAGGCACACGGCGCCCGAACATGGGCCACCGGGTCCGGCACCGTCGCGCTCGGCCCGGAGAGGACACGCCATCACCATTGTCTGGTGTCGTGGACGGAAACGCGAACATGCGAGGCGACTGGACAACGGATAGCCTGCGCCCGGCCGACACCGAACAACGGACAGCCAGCGGCCCACGTCTAGCACTGGACAGCGAACAGCCAGCGACCGGTGTCTGACACCGGACAGTGGCAAACATGA